ATGGACAGATGAACAGACGGGCAGATGGGGCCTCCACCAGCTGCCGCCCGTGATACCCAAACGACCGGCGGCTCATCCACTCCAGGGCTGTGGACCATTCTACATTGGGACCTTGGAAAGACCTTCTAGCGACGCCCAGATCCTCTGTGGCTGCATGAGGCGCGTCCCACTGGCTGATTGCCCCGGTACCTGCGCAAGCCTCCGAAGCCTTAATTTGAGCCTGTGGGATGCCTTTCAACTCTGAAGCGAAACTCTCCGGGCTCCTGACTGGCCGGTTGCCCCCTTTCATTCCCCTGTTGGGTGTTTGTCACCTCGCCGTTGTCCACCATGGGTCCCTGGGATTCGCGGTAGTGGCCAGACATGGTGTCTGATGGGCGCCGCTGGGGAAATTGCGCTGAGAATACTGCGAATTAGCCTCAATCGGTGCATGGCTCGTCGACCCGGCCTCCAATCTCCCTGGCTAGTGACAGCAGTACAAGAAGCTCAGGACGCCCAGAACCATCGTCCTTTTTCTCTTCCTATACTCAAGCTGTGACTTTCAGTATCCCACAAAGCCTTTGACTTCGGTCGTCCATTCTTTCGAGTTCAGCTCACCCACGCTCGTTCAAAGCACCACCCCAACGTTCTTCGTTTCTTCGAAGTTATCTACTCTTTTTTTCGATTCCGGTAATTCAAAAACCTCAATCCAACCAAATCCGAAAAAATGCGCTCCACCATTGTTGTCGCTGCCGGCCTTGCTGCCGTTGCATCTGCCGGAACCACCACCATCACCGACACCGTCGATGTGACCATCACCTCGTGCGAGCCCACCGTCACGAACTGCCCCTACAAGGGCGGCTCTGGTGCTGACCAGACCTGGGGTGACTGGAGCGCTGCCACGACCACCTCCAGCAAGCCAGTTGACCCCGTGAGCACCGACTCTCACACCTGGGGCGACTGGACCAGCGCCAGCAGCACCAGCAGCAAGCCCGTTGACCCCGTGAGCACCGACTCTCACACCTGGGGTGACTGGACCACCACGACCACCTCGGCTCCTGTGGCTCCCACCACGACTGCCGCCTGCGGTCAATACACTGCCACCACTCCCCCGGCCTGGTTCTCCCTCTTGCCATCTGATCAGCTCAGCTCAATTGAAGCCCAATGGACTGGTGCTCCCCCGGCCGACTGGTGCTACTGGACTTACAGCACTGGCTCTCTCTCCACGACCGCCACGCCTGTTGCCCCCGCTTCTGACGTCCCCAGCCCGTGGTCTTCTGTTGCTCCTGCTGCTGGCACCGGTGCTCCGGCTGCCCCTGTCTCTCCCGAATCCACTGGTGTCTGGTCGTACTCTGGGTAAGTTTTTCAGCATTTTTGCAATACGCAACTTTTAGGAGTGAGTTGGGCTAATGATTTTTAACAGCTCTGCCACCCCTGTCGCACCTGCTGTCGCCACCTTCACTGGTGCTGCCAATGCCAACACTGGATCGTTCGCTCTCGCTGGTCTCGCTGCTGCCGCCGTTTTGGTCATGGCATAAGCGGGTGTCAACTTTTACGAAGGGCTTTTGAACATTTTTCTGTTACGATCCACATGGCCATTGCATTTGCAGGAACAGCAAACAAGTCCTGCTTGATACCAAGGAACAAAGCAGCATGTCTGGGGAGGTTGTCTATGCGAGGGGAAGAGCAGCGAGTGTTTCTGTAATTAGTTGCAAGTGTGCAATGGGGTAGTTAGTTGCATGATTTGAAGATGGTCCCTTCTTTTGCATATTATCTTTGGACGCATCAAGGAGGTGCTGGCTTGGTCACTGTAGCTAGCATTGCGTAATACCTGTTTACCGGAGCTACTGGGAGTTCGCTTTCTTTTTCTTATTGTCCTGGTATACGAGTATGATGTAAAATTTCTGTTAGAGATATTCATTATTGTGTGAGAGTCCTTGTATGTTTGTGCCCTACCAAATACTTCACACGTGATGTAGAATCAGGGGGGAGAAGTAAATGTCCCGATTAGGAGGTTGTGGATATAAAAAACACCTTTGTGGCTGTGAGGGAAATTGCATGTGGCCGAAACCAGCATGGAACAAGACGCCACGCCACACACGCCCTTGTCCCTCCTCCTCTTCTTCCTCTGCCTCTCCTCGACTGGTCATGACCGCGTTCCGACCTTGCTGTCACACCTTTTCTCCCCTCCCTTCCTCATTATTGAAACACACACCCCTCGAGTGTCTTGGCAATGTCTCTAGAGCAACAAGGAAATGTTTGCTTTTACAGTTGACGAGGCAAGATTGCCACACCGCATATGGCATTGTGATTCCACATGGGAGATTACGAGCAACAACATGAAATGACTACTCGTACTACTGGATCGTGTGTCCCATGCCCGCTCGCCACGTGCGGATCTTGTATGATGCTTGAGTGTCTACATTTGTGGGGGAAAAATTCACCACAGAGGGCGACAGCTAGACACACAATCTCACCCCCGGACGTCGGCGGGCTTTTACAAGGACTTGATTTCCGCGCCGTTTCACCCTGCAAAACACGATCCGTGACAAGGGAGATCCAACATCTATTCTTGATGGCACTGATGGGTAACCAGATGTAACCCAAACTCCCGGTTCCAATGCACCCCTGGGACATCTGGGACGGGTCCCAGCAGCGGCGCACGGTCCACCCCTTATACAAGATGCCCCAGGTCAGACTACCTACGAGTACCGAGTACATCGAGATCCTGTTGAACACGGGTGTATAGGAAGGCGCACGGCTCTCTACGGATGTTTATAATCCCGCACTACCGTCCTTGTCATCGCATACTCTCAACCACACGGGGAATTATTCTACGACTACACCCTCGACTCGCCTAAGGCATTCCCTCAAGACTCTCAGATGAGACGCTCGACCCCGTTTGGACCCCATATGGCCATTTTTACGGATCCCCATCAGTCTTGGGGGCTAGTGAGGCTGGGCATTTGGGCCATGCAAAGGCTTGACAAGCTTACTCGCCCCAGATTGTCAGCTTCTAACTTGTTGGGGCAATTTCTGCTAAGCCATTGCGCTGCGAAGGAAGCGGTTCGTTTTGTTTTCTATTCCGACCTGATCAGAAGGAACATCGGTCCGCGAAGAGCCTCCCTCCCATCGCCCCTTCGACCGGTCCTTCAACAGTCTTCCTTCCCGCTCCTTCACTGCGCCGTTGTACGCTGGGGGAATATCGCGATAATATCGGGCAATTGAACAATCCTCCCTCGTGGGATCGGGGATAGCAACTTCGCTTCCCTTAAGCCATTTTTTTCGCTGCTATAGTGGTGTCCTTCACTGCGCCCGCGACATGCTGGCCCCTTCTGCTATGGTTATTCTTGACGCTTACCGCTTACTGACAATCGCTTCCCACACCGTTTACTATCAATGGACAATGCCAATCTGCTGGCGCGGCTCTGCAATGTAAGTCTGACGCTCTCAAGGTCGCCGATTACGAGACGCAAGATGGTCATCGAACCCTACCCTTCCTGCAATCCTGGTCCCGTTCGGTTTTGGCCCATCAGATGATGGTTAAAACTCATATATCGCCCTTCACCATGACCTCACCTCAGGCTGCGTTTTACCTTCACTTTTTGATGAGCGGCCTTGGTTGGTTGCCAACATCTTCTTGTTGTCTCTCTTTAGATGATTGGTGTCGAGGATCAGCGGATGCCTCCAGGAACCCGGAACAGCACTCTCGTCCTTGCGACACTCTCACTCATTTGGCCAGCTTGAAAGTGAACGATCCCACCATCGACCTGTTCTTCAGACGCGATTTCTCATGATGAATCCACCAAGCAACAATGTCTTCGACCAGGTCCGGTCGAAGCTGCGGCAGTCTCGCTCCAGTATGGTGTTGACCACCTCTACATATCCTTCATATGAGCAACCCAATTGGGATAATGTTCCCGTGGCATTTCGGCCGGTTGAGAGGGCAGATGTGCGAGTGGTACATGGGTACTACCTGGATCGACCTCTTCCTGGACCCCCTCCCCGTCCACGTACAACGTCTCCTGCTCCGCCTTTCCAGCTTGGGCCAGCCATGAACGTTGGCCATCTCAGAAATCCTACCCCTCGCACACACCGCAGCAGATCGGCTGAAATTCCGCAGAGGGAGTGGTCAGGTCTACATGCTCAAGACTTGAGCTATCAGAACAAGAGGGCAAGCGTCAATATTGCTATTGCCCTTCCACCAGATCATCTCGAGCCTCCTCCACCATACTCTCGCTATCCCTCTCCGCCATCTACATGTGCTGGAAATCCGATGCCTCCACAACCTCTACGGGTTCAAGAGCAGCCTTTCATCAAACCCTATAACCCAATTGATTACGTCCGTCCGCCGAGTCAGGAACCGAGACGACTGCCTGAACAGGTGCCCATCATTGCTGCCCCAGAGCCACCCACCCCCGTGTCCCCTATCAATGCCTTGGATTTACAGTACTTGGCCATGAGACGCCCGCCAGCCACCAATAGCAATGTCACCATCGACGGTCTTCTAGACCATCCTATGCTGCAAAACAGGTGACCTTTTCCATTCTGATGTCCTCTCGAGTCTGGTTCGGTCGTTGGAGGAGAGGTTGGTCGATGCAAGGTTCCACGAAAAATATAAACCAATAGGCCCACACGAGCGGAGAGCATTCGCAAGGGCATACGAGCTCAGACCATGGCCGATCCAAGTCCGCATATCTCGGTCCTCACGTGCGTGCCCTGGGAAGGCGGAGGAGGAGCACTATTCCCTGCCCCCGAAATTCGTGGTCTGGTGGAATGTAACGCGTAGGAAGAAGCTCCTCCCTTCGCACCTCGACTACAGGATACGACACAAGGAATCATTACTTTATATGGTGCCATCCGCCACAGGCAAGTTTGATTTCAATCACTACTTTCACTCATTATTTGTTTAATCAACCACTCGTTTGATGTTCCACCTCGCTCCTATACGTTGCTGTTTCTATTACCACCAAGACATTCTTTCCACAATCGCGTGACAGAGATTCACTCTTTAGCTATTAAAGATGGCGCCGATCCCTTCTCTCGGTGCAATTGCCGACCTCAATGCCCTCAGTGTTACATCCAGACGGCTTGTTACTCGCTCCCTAACCTCCGAGTCCCTCGTTGCAGCCATTATCGTCCTCTCGGTGATCTCCACTCTTCTGCTGGGCAGCATGGTTTTCCTCTTGGCCAGAATTTGGAAGCAGGTGGTGGCCAAGAGAACCCGTTCCCATCCCCCCGACGCATCCAAAAATGACAGCGCAAACTCTGAGCGCAAGCAGAGTGACTGGGCCAGGAAGAATAGTAACGTGCTGTGGTCCCTGTATATCGAAGAGGACGATTTGAAAGCTCAATTCGCCGTGTCGCCAAAGTCCAGGCTGTTCTCCATTGGATCTGTCTCCACGGCTGATCAGGGAAGGTGTCCTTTGGATCGTCGACAATCACACGACAACACACTGGCCCAACACAAGATTGTCGATGACAAGAATCCTCAGAACGAGGAATCAACGGCCGATCTGCGCAGTCGAACTCCATTCGAGCACCAGACGACTCCGACAAAGAACGTCGCTCGTGCGCGAGCCCTGTCTCAGCCTTGCAACCACAGACATAGTACGTCAATCGAGGAGCTGGTGAGGCGCAAACAAAGTGTACCTGCGCGAATCGACGAGGAGGCTTTTGGAGGCTATGACCATTACGGAGGGCCGTGAATGTAAGAGCTGGCAAGGTTGCTACAGATGTCTGGATGGATACGAGTGGTTGAGGAGGAGCTGTCTTGGGGCCAGATTTCCTTTGACGACCCTCATCATTTCTATATTCCAGCTTCACAGAGAAATACTGATTCAGTTCAATTCTACTCAAGCCATTTCAATTGATTTTGCCACGCATTGTATCATCGTATCATGCTTGAACGGCTGTCTTACCACAGACTCCCCCGATCACGTGCCGTCCGTCTCTACAACATCCGTTAAGGTCCTCAAAATTCATTCCTCGTCTCTATTCGTCACTCAACCACCTCCTCCACGCAAAATATTTGACTCTGGACCGTCCGTACCTTGCAGAAATGCATTGCACCAATGAAGCAAAAGAGTTCGTCTGCATGGAGCCCCGATTCCTCAGCCGAGAACGGGGCAAGATGTCTGGTTGTGCGTGCCATCCTCGTGTCTGGCATCCAATGCTGCGAGCTTCAAGACGCCGATGACGAGATGACGGATCCTTTCCCAGGTTGTGGACTGCTTTGTCCAAGAGATAAGAATAAGTTCACCCTCATCTGCTCCTTCCGAACCACTCTCTCAAGCGTTTTGCCCGGGTGGTCTCACTTTCCCAGCCGCCATTGTCTGGAAAGATCTTTCAAGGAGAGCATTTGGTTCTAGCCTTTGAGAACCGGTCTGTCAACATCTTACGTCGATCTCGTCGTGCTCAGATTCCTCTTTGTGCTCTCTGCTTCCCTTGAAGAACACTCCGGAGATGCTTCTCAACGCCTCCCACAAACTCAGCTTCAGTGGCCTTCCGCCAGATCTCCTCGATGCCTATGTCCGGTACAAGAAAAGTACACGGGCCCTCTTGACTTGGTTTCTCCAGCATAGCCCGACGCCAGACAAACCCGTCAAGAGCTTGACCATCAAGGATCTTGAGTCTTTGGCTCAAGTGGCGTCCAAGAAGATACGTTCTCTACCCGATATAGTGCATTTCTACTTTCGCGAAACCATTTCAGACCGGAAGAAATTCAGCAAGTATTACCGTGCCCAAGTCGGTGAATCCGCCGCCGACGTGGACACGATCAATCATGAACACTTCACGGCAACGCAAGTCTTGAGTCACTGATGCGTCAAACACCTCGACTGACTTTGACTGCAGGCTCACCAAGATCTACAATGACCTCTGCGTCTGTTGTGGTGACCACAAGCCGGGGAACCAACCACACCGTAAATCGCCCTCGGCATCTCCTATCTGTCAATCACTGCGTCCGGTCAATCTTTACGAGGGCCTGGTAGTCGAGGATGCCGAAGACCACGACGGCCAGAACCCTGGAAAGGTAGGGCTTCCCGGGCAGTCCAAGCCCATCTCACCGCGACCATCGACCACTGAGCGTCAAGATCTCGACATTCGTCTTGCAGACGACGACCTTGGCAACGCTCTCGAACTGGCAGCCGCGGCGCAGGTAAGGTCGTTCTGAAGTGTCGGGGGTCCTGGCTAATGCGACTAGCAAATCCACGATATATCCTTCTCTGTCGAACAATATTGGCGGCTTGTGGGCGAGGGGACCCTCTCGTTCGCAGTTGCAGCTTTTATCACCAATGTTGCTTTTGCTTTACTGCGCCGAACTGTCACCGAATTACTTCAACACGACGAAAACTTGAGCCTGGCAGACGTCCGTCGCATATGCGCTCTCAATCGTCCAGCAAATCAATGTGCGGGTGACACTAAGGAGCCCATGCGCACTGATCAAGCCCTCATGGATCGACTGCAGCACTTTCAACAAACACTTTCAGATGTTTCGAGCGGTAGTATAACCCTTGCTGACCCGTCTTGCGCCAAATGCGGCCACAAAGAGGCTCAAGAAGCTCAGCGAAGTATCGTCGAGGACAATACTAGCGGTCAAAGCTTCTCAAAAGCCATGATAGAGAAGCTTGTCCAGTTGGCGAACAGCAAAGCAACAGATGTCGAGGTCATCCAGACTGGGACCCCAGTCTATTGGGACGTGTGCGGCCTCATTACAAATCCCAAGGACACTCCCACGTCTTGGACGGCTATTCTGGGACTGGATCTTCTAACCCAAAGCACCAAAAGCTTCCTTCGATCCGTTCAGCCGCCGCAAATTGCCTCACAAGGTCGCATTGTCGCCTTGAAGCTGGCCCATCAAGCTCGCTTCCACGTCTCGACGGTTTTGAAGAACAAAGCCGCCTTTCCCTGCCGCTGTTCTCAGACTCTGGGCTGTCACCTGCAGAATCTGGAGACCGAACTGCACCAGTATGCAAGCTACAATTGCTGGGACCTCCTGTTTCAATCGCCATGGGTCGCTGGCAACCACGCCCTCGAAATGGTGGACCTGTGCCACTACTATGGGTTGCACCTGCTCAGATATCGGCATTACGTGGGCGCGGTCCTACATTCTTACAACGTGCTTAGGCAGCTTGGGGGACTGGAGGAGATATCGACCTTGGAGAAGCTGAGCATTCAGTTTGGCGATGTCTTGTTTCCCGGCAGCAAGCCTCCCAAGTCCAACTTTCGCACTTGCTGGGCGAGACACGTGGGTGCAAGACTGAAATTCGAACAGGGTCATAAGGGTAAGAACAAACATGATAACTGGTGTCTCGCGATTCCCGCCCATGCGGCAAAGGCTGCGGCTGGATTTGATATCCCCAACCACCAACAGAGGCATATGTCGGGTTGTATGTTGTTCCGCTACAAGCACCAGAACTACCACATCAGTGATGCCCAGATGAAGCAAATCAGTACCCCCGTAGTGCGTCAACGCCCCAACAACGGAGAGCGGGTGGTCCATCGGATGTGCAAGACAGACGTCCAGATCGTCGAAGCTGCAGGCCAGAATCCTAAGCTGTTGGCGGTTGCCCTGATGACGCACCGATTGTTCACCACGGGCGCTGGGGGACTTCTTCCGATGGCTCGGGTGAACCTGTTTGCGTTATTTGAGCGATGCCTCAGAGTGGTGTCACAGGTCTCGGACAAGATGCATTCTGACAATGAAGCCGAAAAGGGCAGTAATTGCATCTGCTTCTGCAGCGAGATTTTCAGCGCCGCAGATCGTATTGTTAAAGGCAGACGACTGGGAAAGCTCGAAGCATGGAAAGAACACGAGCGCAAGCTCATTGAAGACACGAAGGAAGCAATTCAGAAAGCGTTTGGCTCTGTTACGGACGAAGAGATGTTGTGGAATGTCTGAGGGGATCGCAAGCCCGTCCAGCAGAGACTGTACCGGCGGGTATTGGCAGGCGGCGAGGTAGCGATGCAATGAAATGGAGGGTCTTTTCAGAGCTGTCCAGTCTGGAGTGCTAGTTGGGTGGTCTTTACCTTTCAGGATTCCCAGAGATTCAGCAGAGAGAAGAGCGAGGCAGTTGGAGAGTCAGCGCAAGAGCTTTGTGGCTGGTATCATTACAGTATGTTCGTGTTCTGCACAAGTAGTCATCCTTCGACCGACTTTAAGCCCACGTCGTCTGTCGACATGACGGTCGAGTTGAATTTGTCCGAGGTGGGCAGCTCAATGTGGATGTTGTTCACCACGGCGATGCCCATATTGACCTCGTCGGCCTGCAGCTCCAGCACGTGGCCCCCGATTTTTCTGTCCCTGTCGATAAAGTGCATGTGCTCGCCGGCGACGAAGAAGCCCTGCCAGGCCGGCGGCGAGCGGAACCCGACGATGGTGCCCTCGACCTCGCGGTACTCGGCGACGAACTGCGTCTTGCCCAGCTCGCTGAGCGGCTGGCCCACGTACTCTTGGCCCTTGACCGTGCGGCATTTGAGGTGCTGGAACACGCCCTCGATGCGGTACGACACGAAGAGATTCTCGATTGCCGCGACCGGCGCACTCGCGTTGCCGTCTTGTCGATGCATGATCACCGCGTCCACGGCGTCTTTGCTCTCGAGCCTCACGCCCGTCACGGTGCGCTGGGACCGGAAGTGCGTGGCGGCCGCGTAGGGGATCTGGGCGTCGGGCGACGCGACCCTCACCCTCCCCTCGGCTTGGAGCTGGTACACGGCGCCGTCGAGCAGAAGCAGTTCGCCGTCCATGTGTACGAACGTGCCGAGGCCCTGGTTGCCCTTTGTGAGGAGTTGGGTGGCGGTGATGCCCGTGTCGGATATCCCGGACATTAGGGCACTAGAGATCATATGAGATGTTCGTGAGTAGATGTATTGAACAGAAAGGGATGGAAGGGAATGGGAGTGGTGGAGTGAGTGAGCGAGTGGTATAGAGTGAGAGATGGGTAAAGGGCGGGCGGAGCAATAGTCTCAGCAAAACACATGCACCCTCACTCACTCCCTCGTTCACTTACTTGACCAGGGAGTACTGGTAGATCTCGTTGATGGCCATCTCTGTCAAATGTTTCCAGCGTCTCTTTTTCTTTGATTGTTTGATTGATGTGGATGGATTCTTGCCTGGAAAGATAGATCAACCTGAGATGCTTTTTTCGTGGTCTGGTCTGTTCTTTGCTCGATGCTCTTATTCTTCACTACTACCACCGCAGATTCTTGACCATTTCCCTCTTTCTCGAATTTCTCTCGTTGTAGCTTTTTTCTCCTCCTCCAGCTAATTCCCCAAAAGTCGATATGCGTCGTGACGTTGTCCCGGGAGGAGAAAAACAAGGGTTGCCCTAAACCGGAATACGGGCCTTGCGGGTCGCAACAGGGTGCAGCACAGGAATCGGTGGAAGAACCGGCTGCCGATTACATCATCTCGCACATGCGTCTGATGCATCCGCCTGTGAGGAGTGAGTGAGGCTTCAGGGCGGAGAGGGAGAAGAGAGAGAGAGAGAGTTGTTCATTGTGTGTATTGTGTATATATCTCAGTGAGTGTGTAAAAGTGAAAGAAGTGAGTGACGGAGTAATTGGGCTGGAAGTTGAGGGACTCACACACACACATCGCCATCAATCTACAGGATATTCTATTTCACTGCGCTTTCTGGACAGTTCCACTCCCACCTCTCCCTCACTGCCGCCTACAGTCCTCTAAGCCCATCATGAGCGCCTCCGACGACACGGTCGCCCAGATCATCGTCAATAGCCTATACAATGCCGGCGTGCGCTTGGTGTTTGGCGTGCCCGGCGCCAAAATCGACGCCATCTTCGACTGCTTGATGGACCACCCCGAGATCAAGCTCATCGTGGCCCGACACGAGCAAAACGCCGCCTTCATGGCCGCCGCCGTGGGGCGCATCACGGGCATCCCAGGCGTCTGCATCGGCACCAGCGGACCAGGGGCGTCGAACCTCGCCACGGGCCTCGTCACGGCGACGACGGAGAACGACCCAGTGGTGGCGCTGGTGGGCTCGGTGCCGCGCCACATGAACCTCAAGCGTACGCACCAGAGCATGCGCGCCCTGGACATCCTGGGCCCGACGGCCAAGGTCGCCGTGGGCATCGACGTCGAGGACCAGGCCGCCGAGGTCGTCCTCAACGCCTTCCGGACCGCCAGCGCCGCGCCCCAGGGCGCCACCGTCATCTCCATCCCGCAGGACGTCGCGCGGGGCAGGTCGAGCATCCTGCCGTTCCCGAGCGACGCGTTCGTGCCGCCCATGTACGGGCCCGCGCCGCGGCAGACGCTCGACCACGTGGTGGGCATGATCGAGCAGGCCAAGCTGCCCGTGCTGTTCCTGGGCATGAGGGCGAGCAGTCCGCGCGTGGTCAGCGCGGTGCGGCGGCTCCTGTCCAAGTTCCCCTTGCCGACGGTCGAGACGTTCCAGGCCGCGGGCGCCGTGCCGCGCGAGCTGGTGCACCTGTTCTACGGGCGCGTCGGCCTCTTCCGGAACCAGGTCGGCGACAAGCTCCTGTCCAAGTCGGACCTGGTGCTCGCCGTCGGCTACGACCCCGTCGAGTACGACGCCAACCTGTGGAACCCGCGCGGCGCCCGCCACGTCGTCCACATCGACTTCACTGCCTCCGACTACGGCACCTACTACCACCCCGTCGCGGAGCTGCTGGGCTCTGTCGTCGAGAACATCACCTACCTGGCCGACCACCTCTCGCAGATCTCCGAGCCCACCATCTCCGACCTCTGCCAGGGCTTGATCAGGGAGTACACCATGTGGCAGGACAGGCCCGAGGTGCAGGGCTCGTCGTCGGGGCTGGTCCATCCGCTGCACTTCATCACCACCTTGCAGGGCATGGTGTCCAAGGACACGACCGTGTGTGTGGATGTTGGGTCCGTGTAAGTTTTCCCAGAACACTCACGTAGCCCATGCGATTTTTGCATTCTTTAGCCCGGTGGTGTCCATAACCCTACCTGGCTTGGGAAGGGGAACTGTTGACGCACCGGTCTAAGAATGTGCCCATGAAACCACGCCCCTGTCTTTTCTAACGGCCTTGATTCTCGCTGCAGGTATATCTACTTTATGCGGTTCTTCTTTGCATATGAGCCGCGCCGGCTTTTATGGTGAGTTTTATCGGTCTTCTTTTTTGTCGTCCTTTGGTCATCTTTTGCTCCCGTCCTAGCTGTTCCCCTTTCTTCTTCCCAACTCAAGCCTAAAGAAGAAAAGACAAGAGAGAATGAACGAATGATGAGGAGCGAGGGATCGAGAGAAGAAATCAAGAAAGGAAAACCCCAGTGCTCCCCTATCTATCCTACCTGATTAAATCATCCGCACTACCTCATTCCCCTTCCTGTCCCCATTCGTCCTTCTCAGCTCAGCTCAGCTCAACACCCCTCCTAACCTTTCGAGATTCTGTCCTTGACACAGTTCCGACGGTCAACAAACGCTAGGCGTCGCGCTCCCGTGGGCCATCTCCGCGTCCTTGACGCAACACCCGACCCCGTGCGCGGAAAAAGTCATCTCCGTCTCCGGCGACGGCGGCTTCATGTTCTCGTCCCAGGAACTGTCCACGGCCGTCCAGCAGGGCTGCGACATCACGCACGTCGTCTGGAACGACCACGCCTACAACATGGTCGAGTTCCAGGAGGTGCTCAAGTACGGGCGCGCGAGCGGCGTGCGTCTGGGAGGCGTCGACTTTGTGCGCTTCGCCGAGAGTTTTGGCGCGAGGGGCTTCCGCGTCGAGAGCGCCGACCAGGTCGAACCGGTCCTGCGTGAGGCGCTGGCGTATCGTGGCGTGAGCGTCGTCGACGTCGCGATCGATTATTCCGGCAATGTCGAGTTGGCGAGGAACGTCATCGCGGATGAGTGGAATTGATAACTCCCGTCCGTCCCTCTCCTGGCTTGATCAATCCCATCTGAGAGTGGGAGGAGAAGAACGCCGTACCTCGTCACCTCCCGTTCCGATCGGTCGGTCAAGCCGACGACTGGACGAACCAAGAGACGACTTGGGAAATGGGTCGGGTTACTATGATGGATCAGTCCAAATTGACAGGACACGGACACGATTTCTATATCTCAGCTTGTCATGGGACGCTTTGGTGTTGGAAAAAAAAACAAAGGCAGACAGGGAGGAAACAGAGACACATGCAGAGACACGGGAAACAGGAAACAGGGAATAAAAGTCCATTTCACATGAAGCGACGACATCTACTGAATCGCTCACTTGGTCTGTTACCGGTTTTCATGGTTTCTCTCTTCAGGTTGACACTTCCTGTCTCTCACAGTCAAGAGAGCCCTCTTTGCCTGTCCTGTCACTCTGGATCTGCAAGACCAGGCACGTCCACAGCATACAGCACAAAGCACGGCGGATATCCTGAACAGAGACCACGTTATGTAGCTTCCACAAAGCCCCTCATGTCCCAGTTTCTCCCTGTTGGTGCGACTGGCGCGACTCCTTGTACACTAGTACCGGCCCATCTTCCAGCATGAGAAACTCCGTCTTCCAACCCACGACATAATCCTCTTCCTCCAAAAACTCCCCACCGACACCGGTGCTCTCTTCCTCCTCCCCCATCAGGCCCAGATCTCGGGGATCCAGCTCCGCAGGCATGGGGACTTCAGCAGGAAACTGCGATGAAATGCCGACAAGGTCTTCCATCACCGCTTTAGGGTACCTTACTGGTATTTGCCGGGGCTCTGCCTGTGCTTGCTGTGGAGTTGTTGGATTTTGAATCGGGGTTTTGCCGCACCCGCTGCCTTTGCCTGGTTCGCCGCCTAGCTTGCCACGCGCCTGGTGAACACGGATGACAACTTCGTCGAGAGTAGATTTCTCAAAGAAGCCCAGGTTGATCAAATTGTAGCGACCATGGAGGGCGAGTAGTAGCTCCTGCATGTGGATGTCTTGACTTGTCTCGAAGAACTCGCCCGCAAGGGCCTCGAGCTCCGAGTGGGCTGTGCCTGAAACGTTGAGCGCAGCCGGAGAGACGTGTCGGAGGAAGTCCAAAACATAAGATCGGAACGCGTCGTCCGGCAGGGTTGAGGTCGTGCTTGACATGATGGTATAGGTTTCCTGTTGGTCCTTGAAACAGGTTGGCTGAATGGGTGAGGCGAAGGTCGTCGTCGCGAGGTGCAGAAATTGGCTCTGTAAGGCGACGCGTCAATACAAAACGTGCCGGCAGCGGTCACAGGTCCTCTCATACCTATCTCCGTCATTCCATGATCTTGTCGCGTTGATAAAGAGGTCGAGAGGCAGACGGAACAGATTGTCGACGCGCGGAAGGTGCGAGGTTACGGATGTGGATGGATGATCGGGTTCAATTTGGTCGCAGTTTCGTCTCACATTTGAAGGAGTGATTCAAATGTGTGAAGTTAGTTCCGTCCGTCGCTTGGTTTGCAGAAGGTATAAACCAAGGAACGACAGTCAATATCAGGAGGCTTTGGATCGTGTCTGTCGGAGTCTTTGGCAGCGCCTTCCACAGTGTTCAAGAACAAACAGCATGATCGAAAGAAAGAGATATTAGAGAGCGACTCCTTCCATGAGAGCAATCCTTGGGGACATCAAGGTGTTGAACGAGTGTTTGTTTCCCGGTGGATGGTACCTCTTGGTTGGTTCCCGTACATCACCATCTTGACCATGACCACTATCAAATGCTGTGATCCGTACATAACGAGATTGATCAGGAGAGGTGATAATTTCGATATCGGGCCAGATCCCAACCGGCTTGTGACGAGTATCAGACTGCAACTGCATCTCCCGGCTGTCGTATTGAGGATCAATCTTGACAGGAACAAAAACAGTAACTGCGTCGGGTCTTGACAAGTCAACAATATTGGCATGACCGGGATGTTGATACTTGGGGCTTTCTTCACTTATCGAGTACCAAAGAGCAGCATACATCATCCGAAACTGGACCGACATTGTCTTAGCAAGCTGGAGTTCTTCGCCCGTTGGTTTCTGCCCATCAGCCCGGATGATATAGTTGCAAACCAACCCGAACCATTGGCGTAGCAGTTTGTGGAGCTGATTAAAACCCGAACAATAACTGGTCCATTCCTTGTGGCAAAGGGCATACCGAAACCGCCAGCGGAAGATTTCGAAGAACTTCCGCTGCATCTGAAGGGGGCTGTAGAAAAATTCTGGAAGATGTGGTAGACTCTGATCAATGGTGATGGTAGTTTCCGCGCCAGCACGAAAGATGGGAGTTTTGAATATGGAGACCACCGTCTCCACTTGGATAGCTATGGAATAGATCGCTCTGGTGGCCGGTGTCCACTTGGTATTGGGGTCGTTCATGATGCGAAAAGCCGCGGCGAGATGCGACAAACCTGCGTGACACTTGATCTGTGGGTCAAGATGCTCGTAGACGGCTATCAAGACACAACACAGGAGTACCGTGTCCACACAAATGATGTCCTTATCTCGATTGAGGCAGGACAGGGCTTGCAGATACTGTCCGGACGCAAAGGCGGGCTGGTCCGAAGTCAGGTCAGACGTGTTCTTGTACCTGCCTGCAAGAGCGACTGCGAGGTGATGAGCGGCTGGGATTGATGTTGTGCATTGTCGAACGTGATGGAACCAAAAGTCGTGAGCACTGCTCGCAAACGTCCATTCTGCCATGGCTGGAGTGGCTACTTCACAAAAATACTGAAAAGCCCAGCGCTCATGATGCGAGCCCTGTTCCATTGGTATGACCCCGAGCAAGCGCGCAGATTCGGCGGACGTATCTGATGGTGTGTTTCTGAAAGGTTCAAAAATCCATGCTCTGCGGACGACATAACCGTCACACTGACGTCTGCTTCTGCTGCATCTCAGACAATTGGGCTTCGTTTCGTCGCATTTCACATGTCTCCTTTTACACGTCAGGCACCCAGTAACAACTTTAGGATGATAAGTTCGCCTGCCGCAACGGGGTTTGTTGTCGTCGTCCAACGGACCTGATGGAACTGGATCAGTATGTGGTGAGCAAGGTGACAAGGACGCAGTGTGCACCGGGGGATTGTGCGTGATGGTTAGATCTCGCTCAATGTCCACGCATCGATGCTTCTGTCTTGGGGCCATAGCAGGCACTTGCTTGCTGAAAGGTGAGGAAGATTCACATTGTTGTCCCCAGGGATTCTCTTCGCTGCTACGACAATGCCGGTGACAGTCGTCCTCTTATAAACTCGACAGGGCTGAGGCGGATGACGCACATCACCATGTGGGAGGCCTTAGCGATTTCAGAAGCATTGGATTGGGTTTCCGAGGAGGTTAGTATCTGGGAAACGGTAAACATGGAGGGCAGCTTTGCCATTCAGACTTGTAAACGACCTCGATAGCGATTCGCCCGTGGTTCCGGGGGATCTGAGTGTAGCCCTATTGAACTTTACAGTCATGGCGGTGTAACAGCAAAGTCACCAGAACCCAGGGGTCTTTTCATAGCTCGGAGAGCCTAATGAGAAGTGATTTGTCCTGAGCCGCTGGAACATCCAAGGGACGCTCGAGGGATCTGCGTTCTCTGGCTCTGTTTGGCTCAGCGCACCCGTCTTAGGGTAGCCATCATCCCGCGTCCTCGCTTCTGTCGGCTCGCCTAAAACTGGGATCGTCACCTTGGGGTGCTTGTTGAATACAAGCATTCGAACCAATTGAGATGGTGCATGACTGGAAAGCTGCTCGATACCGAAATAAGGCATTGCTGCCAGAAACTGGTTGCCTTGTAAATGATCATGACCAACGAACGCGCTTGATCATATTCGTCGTTGACATGTGAGAATATAGCGAGCCGCGACATCTGACTCCATACAGCTGTCGCGTGTGCCGCGTTGATGAATGTGAGGTGTCAGGACCATTCCATGTTGATGGCTCAACGAAGAAACAAATTGGTTGAGCAGAACGTGACTCAGCCTCGCGGCAGGCAGCCATTTAGGGTTTAGTTCAGCCTCGTCAGACCTCACTGGGTTTTCTCGATGCTGCCTCTCTGCCACTGTCTTTCATGCTGTAGCTACAAATGTAATTCGAACCTCTCCTCTACAACTCACCTGATATTTGCCGTCATGTCAGACAATATCATAATCCCAGTCCCGCCATTTCATGTCGATCTCGCCGCTATTGATGCTCTCCATCTGTAGGTCCCACCGGTACCCACCAAGAGTAACCGTCTTTGCTGAGCGTAATTCTGCTAGCCACTTTGTTAAAAGCTGATGACAGACCAGGGTTCACTACAGCCGCCGCCTTTTAATATTTCGCTGTGCCTCCCTTGCTCAACGGGATGCTCAGCTGGCTGCTCTCAAGGTAGGCTTACAAGCTCTGGGCTTGCGATGTGCCATTTTGGGTGGCGTGGTCACCCCTCTACAGCCTGCAGAGGTCAATACCACCAACTCCGATCCGAACTGGCGCACCATCCGCCCTGACCGTGGCATTGAACTGGTGGTAAAAGACCTACGGGCGGAATTGCCTTCTTTCGAAGAGCTTGAAAACTCCGATTTCTCAGTCACCCACCTCCCCTATGACCTGCTTGTGCCTGTGCCTCAGTACCTTGGAAATGACTGCCCTTTCGCCGCCTGCAAGATCCAATTCAGCACGATCGAAGGAGGCACCATTCTCACGTGGGCCATGTCACATTGCGTGGGTGACGGGGTCGGGAACGACGAGCTTATGCGCGTACTCAGTGAGGCCACAAAGCTCGCCCAAGAGCGCGCTGTGGACGACGTGCTCGCACAGGCTGCCGCGTCCACGCAGATGGGGCTGGATCGCAGCATCATGCGTGGTATGTCCAGTGACATCCCGTTCAGGATAGAGGATCACCCGGGATATATGACCAACGCGCCACAACTACCCCCAAGCCACCCTTTCCAGGCCACGGCACCGGAGGTGTCTGTGCTATTTCATATCCCGGCCACTCGTGTAGCACAGCTCAAAACAGACGCAACACGGCCGGGCGCACCCCCCATTTCCACACACGATGCAATATCCGCCTTGATATGGCGGAGTCTCATCCTGATACGCCGTCAACGGTGTGCCGAAGCACGGGACCTGCCCGGGTCCACAAAGACCAACCTGTTCATGCCGTCAGACGGCCGCCGCCACCTGAATATCCCGCAATCGTATATCGGCAACGTGGTCTACCAACTCTCTGCCTCTCTCGATCTGGACACGCTCCTCGCCCCGTGCTCGGGCCTGCAGGAAGCTGCCAGCGCGGTCCGTCGCGCCATCACGGCTGTCAACCCCACGCTCGCGCGCAGCGTCATGGCCGAGACGAACAGGAAATGGATCGACTGGGCCTTTCTGGGCAGTTACTCGTCGACCGGCGTGGCCATGGGCACGGACTGGACGAGCTCGGCGCTCTATCAACAGGACTGGGGCGCCGCGTTCGGTGGTGCGCCCGCCAGGTACAGATACCCCGGCGAGCCGGGCGTCAATTGCGTCATGCCCAAGTTGCCAGACGGAGCGGCAGAGGTCATTGTCAGCGTCATGGAAAGCGAACTGGACATGTTGACCAGCGAGGAGTGTTTCGGCAAGTATATCATCAGGAAGGGAGACACTTAGGAGTTGTTAATCTGAGGTAGATAGAGAAAAAGGCTGGAGCAATATAGAAGCTGTTCAAACAAAGCAGCCATAAATGATGTTCAGTTTACATACATTAATCATTTGCGACCTATTTTGCAGTGCGTGTGATAGACATTACCCATCATTCATTACAATTGCCGATGCTAGACACAAATGGGCCTGTTTCTTGCTTTGCAACGACACATCCCTCGTTCTCATGTTATTAAGCTCTGATACGTCAACCATATGGTGCAAGTAGTACATCAACAAAACAAACAAAAGCCACCCCGTTACCCGGAACAAACTCCGGCAGAGCACGGGGCGTCATCACCAGCAAAGGCGGAACTACTAACCCCTAAACAATTTCTACGAATCATACACGGGCCGACTGGCGAAATGGACCATCCTCTCGCCCCAGTCAAAGACGACGAGCATGCTGCGCATGAGGCTGTCGCCGATGACGCCGACGACGGTGTCTCCCCGAATGCTCTGCACGCCCGAGACGCAGGTTGTGCCGGAGAACCAGACCAGGTCGAGCGGGTTGATGGGGAGCTCGACGCCACCGACGAACAGGGACAGCTGGGGCAGGGTGGCGTCACAGGACACGACGTAGAGGCCCTGCGAGTTGAGGGTGGCGGGCGGGTCGAAGAGGGCGTTGACGGCCTTTGCAATGGCGGGCGGGAACCGCGACAGCGTCGCCCCCGAGTCGACCACGTAGTACGCAGGCGTGGCGTCCTCGTCGGCGAACTTTCCCGCGCCGTCGGCCCAGGCTACCCCGTCGGGCACGATCGTGTAGTGGGTGAAGTAATCGCCACAGGATGGGATCTCGGGGTTGACCTCGACCGGGGCGGAGCCAAAGTCTCCCACGGCGTTGATCCGCGGATCCTCGGTGTCGGGAATGCCCCCGATGGTCAGAAAGCCGCCGTATCCAGTCTCAGAGGCGTCGCGAGAGATGGCCATGGAGAAGAGCGGCTCGGTCAGCTCTTCGTAGAAGATGGTGTTGATGATCGACGAGTATATCACTGGTTGTCCCCCCTCGACCGCCGAAGTGAGACATGGGTACGCCAGGCCGATGAGGCCAGTCATTGCGCCGTCCCCGACGATACCAACCTGGCTATTGTTTCAGCTGCGGTCGCTATCTGGACAATGCAGGGGTCTTACCTTGGTGGCGAGGCCAATGGTTTGCTCTTCCACAGTGATGCCGGCAATGTCCACGCTCGTATTGGCCAATGGGCCACTCGCGTAGGAGCCGTCGACATAGTTGATGAGGAATTCAGCGTCTGTATAGAGTTCAAAGGCCTTGTTCACTGTGATGGCATCGCCAAAGGCACAGTCAAACTCCGGGTCGCAGTCAAAGCCAGTCGTGACGGCCCAGGTGTCGGAGCTCCCGGTATCGACGAGGAGACCGACAGACTGACCACCCAAAGAGACCTCAATCAAGAAGTGGCTCTCATACCCTGGATCTATGAGGATTTCTGATTGGCGCCGAAGCTTGGAGCTATGAGAGCCTCGTTGTACAGTCTTCAATGGCAGGGTGTGAGGGGCGACTGGGAAGCTGCGAGAAACCAAAGCCTCAGCCTCGCTCCTGCGCAACGGAGTGGGCGAGCAATGGACCAGCAAAAAGGTCGCGAAAAGTGTCAGGCTGGTCGCTATGGGACTCATGATGGTGGGTGAACAGGCTTCAGCAAGATGCTGCGTTGGATCTTCTGCCATTCATCCTCCCATCCGTCCATCCATATATATGTCCCTCACCCTCACCAGGCATCGAGAAGTCCCAAGCCACGGACTACATGCCAAGTTGGGGCGGCGACGTGGTGGTATAGCCAAGAGGTCGTCGCTGGCTTGGCCTCGTCCTAGCCAAGATTGGGCTCGAGCAGATTCGTGGAAAACCAAGTGAGTTCTTGAACACGAAGCTTGGTGAGGCTGAGTCTCGCCAACGCCATTGGTAGTTACATACCAGGCTGCATGAGCTGAACACCTTTTGGTAAACCACGTCAGGTGTTGCCATTTGGTGTCTGCCTTGTAATGTCGTTGTCACGTGTCCTTTATACGATATTTTCGGTCTCAGTTGGGAGGGTGCCCTCCATGACAAAAGGCCTTCTGACTCCAGCAGTCATGGTGCTGCGTTGTGAAGTCAAAGCGAACAAGAGTGGAGGATCATGGAGCGTGGAACGCGCAAGTTGGACCTCCTTAGCGTAGAGAAAATAGCGTAGACGATACAACAACTGACGTGGGCGCAGCATCGTGTGGGGCGTGCGCTCTGAACCTCTCTTCATTGGGACGAGGTTGCCCTTTCTAGACACCCAAGTCGGAAGCATCCTCGTGAGAGCCCTCACCGTCAGGCTCATGTCTGCCATTGTCAGCCGAGGAACCGAACCCCGAGGGTGGGCTACGAGAACGCAACCGATGCATAACATCAGTTGAGGGAGTATTTGCCAGCCTTGCCAGCCTCAGCAGGTAACGAGTATGAGAAGGAACCTGAAGAAGCTCTCAGTGACACGACCGTCACTACATTGCATTCTTCATTGTCCCCAATGTACGCCAGGGCGCCGAGCACATTTCATCCGTCAGTTGACTTTGTCCATTCAATCCTTGACCTATTCGGCATTGCTGTTGCAGTGCCTGCCAATATCAAGTTAGCAACGCGTAGCAAGGGATAGATCAGCAACAAATGAAACTCAGAGAAAGTTTTGTCGTGTCAAGCCAGGGGCCTTGCCCTGGGAAGGAAATGCCATTCATTCAAAGCTCATATGCACTCTGCATCGGCAACTTCACTGCCATATTCGTCTGCGTTCGCCGGACGCCAGATCGCTAAATGCATCAACTGTTCATTCATAACGCGCCGTGGACAATGCCGCATCGGCATCTCATTGCTACAAAAGTGATCAATCGTTTCCACAAATCCCTCAGGAAACATGCTGCTGCACGGCTTCCTTGGGAATGACGCCCTGCGCCACAAAGATATCAATAAGTCCCTGCAATGGCTCCATGTCTTTCTTGCTGATCAGGTCGTAGTACATTGCGACCGTGCAGAAGTGGACGAAGCAGCTGTTCAATTCCGCATGACGCCCAATGTGCCAGAAGGGATCGGTGAAGTGACAGTGATAGAGGTGCGCATAGCAGCGGAACATTTGTTTGATGATAGCCTTGACGTCGGAGTGGAAGTGTGGAGGGAAGCCTGATGACTTGCCAATCCATTCGTCTTGGTTGCCAGGAAGAGAGGTCAAGGATTGGTTGAGATTGGTAGGCGGCGCAGCAATTGGCGTCGTGCCCGAGGGTGTAATCGTCCCAGTGTCACCGGACATGTACGAGGTCTGGTCCACGGTCGGTGGAGGCGCGGTAGGGAAGGTTTTCTCGTCATGGATTTTTCCAACAATCCAGCGCTGAACTCGGACAATGTACTGGGGCGCAGGGATCTTGGCTGGCCGACCATTTTCGAGCCAGGTGTAAGTGAGACTGGGAAGAGTCAATCAATGAACGTTTGCTGCTTGACGGGGTTCAAACATACCGCCCAGCAGACATTGTAGGACATTGTTGTTCATTGCAAAGTGGGACTCCCGTGTTCGTGTCAACCTCCTGAATGACCTGGATCATCCCAGTGAGGAGTCGGTTCATCTCGACCACTGGAAGAAATGAGCCTCTGTTCATCAAGATTGTAGGATTGAATTTTCACCCACATTGATGGGCCAGCCATTCTCCAAGTTCGACATTCTTCGGCTGTGCAGCGAGCGTGAGGAAGTTCCCCTTGACAGAGCACTTGGCATATTTCTCATTCAGGAATTTCTTGGGCTCTTGCTCGATATAACCACTCTGTTCACTAAAGGTGGAGGAGATAGATGGCGAATTGGTCAGAGCAGGAAGGGGAGGTGCTTGCTGTGCGATCGGAGATTGGGATTGGCCATTGTTGTACTGCGCCTTTAGATTTTGGTTGGATTTGGTGTTGCCTCGAGTGAAACCTTGACGACTGGGAGACGGGTCAGCAACTGCGGCATGCTTTGTAGGACTGATAGGCCGCTTGAGGCCTCTTAAACAGATTTTCCATCTGAATTTACCCATCTTGAGCGCGAAGGAGGTCGCAAGGACAAGATGGAGACACTTCGTGTCGGCGGTGAAAGTGAAATGAAATTCATGGTAGCATGAAGACGCGGGGTAAACTTACACACTCTGAAAGAAGGTCGCCATAACGTTGAAATAGACCCGTAAAGGGTCGGACAATACTCTGAATTGTTCACAACGCAATCGCTTGTCATCGACGTGGTGAAGTGGTGAAAAGGAGTAACCAAACTGACTCGTCGACAGCGAGAAGGAGCCTCTCATTGAAACAAATAATTCCCCATAACGCAACTCAGCCGAGGGAGGGGCACGTGAGTTTGACGCTAGCCCTTTGTGGACTCTCCCGATCTCGAACTGTCGTCTTGCAATTGTCTTGAACAAGACCATTCACAATCCAAAAACTTCATTTCTTCGTCTTTGACACTGTGACATTGAATGACGATCACATCCTGTGCTGCTATCTTCGCAAAGGACTTTATGAGTTTCCAAAGAACGATTCGGATCTGGTTTTAGCTCATCCTCTATGTGTCTGCGCTTGAAAGTGTAGAGCGCGCAGCCAGCAGCCGAAATGTCTGCTGAGGTTGAGTCTGCTCCTCGTGGCAGTACTCTTGAGGAAGATAGTGTTCAAGACCACATCAGCAATCCCGCATCCGACGGCGACGGAGATTTATTTGGAGACGACGACGACGAACCGGAGCAGCAGAATGAGTATGGTCCTCATATTGGCCTCTTGAAACTCTCACTAACGTGTAAGCAGCCTCCATAGGAAACTTGACGACTCAGAGCTCGACTCCGGTGATGATGAAGGCCGGAATGATCGACTCGCCGCGACCGTCGAAGACGAAGAGGGAGACTATGGTGAAGAAAAACAACTCAAACTTTTGGATGTGGACATTGCGCGAGTGAAACCGCCTGAGGGGGACGAATTGTACCTCCTGAACATCCCGAATTTCCTAGGTATCAAGCACAGAAACTTTGATCCCTCGAGCTACGAACCGCCTACCAGGCCCCATGATGGCCGTGATCCTACGGTAGACTCTACCGTCAAATTCTCGCCATTCTCTACGGCCAACACCTCCATTTTCTGGCGCCGCGATCCCAAAAATCCTGAACTCATACAATCAAACACACGCATAGTTCGCTGGTCGGACGGCAGCTTCACTATGCAAATCGCCTCTAAACCCCAAGACCATTACCGTATCTCCACTACCGCCATGCGACAAGGTTGGCCTAAGAAGCTTTCTGGATCGCAACACCAGGATTACGATCCTACAAAAGAAACAAACCACTTTTTGGCCGCACCTCACGCCGCGGCAGGAATAGATCTCCAAATCGTCGCTCCTTTCGACGCGTCTATGAAGATCCAGCCTGCAGGCGACCAGGCAGACGAGGCGGAAATGAAACTGCGACAAACGATTGCTGCCACGACGCAAATGCACGAATCTCCTACCACCTTCAAGTCTGTCAAAGAAGACCCAGAACTTGCAAAGAAGGCTGCCGAAATGTTCGAAAAGGAGCGGGCTAGGGCGGACCGTCGCAGAGAGGCTGCTCAAGACCGGCAGTTCATGCGTAGGGACCGGGTGTTGGGGAAATCTGGACTTGGTCGTTCAATGGGCGGTACAGGTCTCTCGATTGCCGGACTGGAAGACGATGACGGCATGCCTACTGCAAGAGGAAAGAAGGCGACAACCAAGCGACGCAGGCCGAATCGTCGCGGGGACATCTACTCGGACGATGAAGACGAGGAAACATTCCGCCGGAGAGGCAGGGAAGACGAATATGATCGTGAAGATGATTTCCTTGCTGCAAGCGACGAGGAACCTGAGATTTATGAGGATGAAGCCGACGAGGAAGCTGAAGCCGACGAGGATCCGGATGTGGATGACTTGGAGATTGAGGGACGTGAGACGGTGATCGAAAATCGCACTCGTGGCGGTGCCAGGGATCGAGACCGGACGCCCAAACGGACATCGCGAGACGATGACGAAGACGCTGAGGGTGAAGAGGATGGTGAGATTGGAGAGAGCAGACAGGCTGTGGGAAATCCTGCAGTTCGCAAGAAGCGGAGAGTCATTGACGACGATGACGAGGAAGATGAGGAATAATGACCGCGATGATATTCATCGCAATTGGTCTCTCGCCCGGGCAGTGGTGACATCGGTTTCTAGGTTGACCAGGGACTGAACAGTGCCTGTACCCCCAGAGTGTCGTGTGAGTCACCCTCATGCCCAAAGGAGGCATCAAGCTACCTGATTTTCGGCATTGGAGAAGCCAGCCATGTGCAGGGTCACCAGAAAAGTACATGCGATATTTACGCCGCGCTCTGCATGTGCGTTCTCCAGAGCAATGTCTCAGCACTGCATTGCTTTTCTGCGGCGACAGCAAGGCGCTGCGCGGATTTGATATCAGGCTATATCGCACGATCCCGTTGACTCCCATGCCCCGATTCTGCGTGGATATCACAGTGCTACAAGCTACGAGTCCTGTACCTGTGACCTAACACCCTGGCCAGTGACATGGCAGCCAAGTCGCCCGAATTATTTCGCTCGGCCTGGAGATACTTAGCTAGATATCTAGATATTCCGACCTCAATCGCGTCTCGACTGAGCCGCACATAGTGGAACGGACCACGAGGATCAGAACAGAGAATCCAACCCAGACACTCCCACTGGGTGTATCAACTCAATCAATCAATCAATCAAGATTTGACCCTCTCAAAAAGAAAAAAGGCCAAAAGTCTCATTTTCTCGCGTAGAATTTGTTCCATCTTCCTATCTATCTTCTGCGGGGGTTTTCTACCCTCCACACCACACCACACCATTCTTGCTTTATTCATCCTCTCCTCGTTGTTCATCCTTTTGTCTTTCGTCTCCCATAGCATACATAGTCATAGTCATCACCATCAAGCACTAAATGAACAGCAAACAAACACGGACAAAAGTTCCAGCGAGAGTATGGCGCTAAACACCATGCATGATGCATGATGGAGCGTGTGTTGGCGCTGTGTTTGAGTTGTATGAATGTGGTTTGGACATGGACAATAAACGCTAGCATTTGCTCCTGCTTCTGCTTTTCTGTTTGTGCTTGTGCTGCCACGCAACGCAATAGGTATCCGAGACTTTTTTCTCTCCACGCAGAGCTGAGCTATGCAGCTCCTCCGAGGGGGAAAAAAAAACCTGGCGTGCTTCTCAGCCAGGGCCAGGGAGTATGTATATAATACAATGCAATTTTGAAAACCCACTTTCTGGACAAGAAACAAGAAAGAAACACAGTTTTCCCTCGCTGCTCACCTAACGCACCCATGGTTAACCTGCTAGCAGTCCAGAGAGCTTCGCGCAAATAAACCAATATCGCACACACTTGGCCGTCAATCGTTCTTTGGATTCATCAAAACGCTCCACCAACCATCTTTTTTATTCCTGACACTCTTCTTTTTCTTCTTTTCCTGGCTATCTTCTTCCTCCTATGAAAGCAGATTCTTCACACTTGGACTCGCACTCGCTCCCAGATTATCTCTCCTATCATCTCTGGTGAAAGCAGGCGGTGCAGACGGGGTAAGTGGTCTCTGTTGAGGGCTCCCGGTGACCGGTCTAGGTCCAAACCGCGGTGTGTTGGTCATCTCCACACTCGCCTGTCTAGAGTGTGGTCTTCCCACTGACTGATCCCCGGCCGCCTGGGCAATTTGCGCCAGGGATTGTGCTGACGGGGACTGTCTCATGACTGGAGGCGGCACGGGAGGTGGGGGACCTTGGGCAAACATTCTCGGAGCGGTCGAATGAGGAGCCGCGTATCCATTCACAGGCGAATCGAGAGTTGATTGACGGCTTGGCTCAGGGTATCCCCGCGACAATAGACTCGAAGGTCCTAGTCCAAGGTGGGGTGGAGGAATAGGAGGTCGGTCGGAGCTGAATCGTGGGGGTGATGGAGGACGTGACACTTGTGATGGAGCCGTAGGAGGTGGAATGGTGTGATGGGCATGATGAGAATGACGAGGAGGCGGCGGTGGGGGGTGATGACCATAAGCAGGCGCAGGAGGGGGGGAATGCTGAGGCACCAGACCTGGCACAGATGGTGGGGGAGGTGGTACGCTAGTATATGGCGAGGGGTGCGCTGGTCGGCCGTAGGGCGATTGACTGTATTCGGGGCCTGTAGGTGGCGGCGGAGCTGGAGGCGGTGGAGGGGGAGGCGGCCGGTACAAAGGTTGACCATAAAGTGGCGGAGCTGGAGGAGAAGGGTGACGGGCTACTCGTACTCCCGGCGAGGACCATTGGGGGGGAGGAGCGCTCTGCCAAGGCGGATAATGGGATGCTGGACCTGGAAGGGGGTGAGGATGAGAATGCGGTGCTCCTTCGATCGGCGGTCTGTTCAATCCATAGATGCTCGGAGGAGCAGGAGGGAACGGTGACTGACGTTTGAACGGCTCTGGTGGCGTTGGATCTAGCGGGACAGGCTTTTCACGAAGCTTCACTTGCGACGGCGACGAAGGGGGAGTTCGCTTGAGGACATGGCACTTGTGACACTGATATATGGTGCGGTCCTTGCCGCCAGCGATTGCTGCGGAAGTCGCGCCATCAGTCGGTTCAGCTTTGATGGCGCCGTTGGTGACAACAGCATCTCGGGCACCATTCACGTGAGCTTGGTCTGTCGTGAAGTCCATTGGTGTGCCGTTAGGGGCTTGCGATCGTTCTTGTTGAAGTGGCCACCATCTAGGGCTGACATCAACCAAACAAGAACAGCATTTCCTCTGACCGCTGCTTCGTGTCCTTGAGCTTTCATTTGCCGGTACTTCAGCTGGTGCTGCGTCTGAGTCTACCTGGGACTCTGTGGCGCCAGCGGGTGCGGGCGATCCTCGAAGGCTTGTACCCCCATTTCTCTCGGTATGAGTGATGATGCCGTTCGGTGTCCCGTTGACAATACTTTCCCGCCGCTGAGGAGGCTGGACCGCGGGCGCAGAGCTCGCAAAATTAGTGGCAAATTGCGCAGCGCGTCGGACGGTTCCGGTAACAGAATTGTCCACCTGCTTATAGGTACGGGCGAACAACTGCATGGCCGTCAACCCCGCATCTGTCGGTTCGAGCATGGTGTGCACCCAAGTGGTAGGAACATGAGACGGGCACCAGATCGCCGCAGTAACAATACCAGTTTCCGACCCCAATTTCATGATATTGGCCGTGTCGCGTCTGCTGCTCTTGACCGGTTGCACGTCGAAGCCAAAAATGTATTCTGCTTGATGTGCACAGCCAACGTGGAAGTAGGCATTGCAACTGGGCATGTGACATTTCACCGTAGGCATGCCAGGTACTTTGCATAGCTTGCAAGCCGGCTCAAATCGATCGGGAGGAATGAAACCCACACCTTCTGCATCATCAAGCAGCTCCGAGTTGCCAAATTTGATCTCTTTAGTCCAGAGGGCGCAAGTAATGTGAATCCAATTGTTCCAAGCCGTCCTCTTGAGAGCTTCACGAGGGTTGACAGGACGCCCTGCTGCTTCTTGTTCCATCCGCCACCTGCGGCTGGCTTCTTGTATGATCTCTCGTTCGATACGTTCCTTTTCACGTTCCCGATCGCTCTTCTTCTTATGGGTCGATCTCAAAGGCTCCATCAGCTCCTGGGCTGTGTACTTTACAGGACAGAGAACGCATTCGTAGGTTGTTGAGACTTGCAAGTTGTGGTCATTTCTGCACATGTCGCAGAACCATGGTTTGGTGTTTGTCTTTTTCCCGACCCCATAGCATGCGCCATGTACATGAAGCCTACAATCACGACACTTGAGTAATTCGAGGCCAGGAGCGTCGATAATCCGACATATGGCACAGGGGTGAACTTTGACCCTTGGGGGATCCGGCTCGATCGCGGCGGGTTCGGGTGGCTTTTCGGGCGCCTTCTTCTTCTCTGGGATAACATCGGGAGTGGATTGTGTGGCATCCTTGTCGAGCTTGCCCTTCTTCTTAGGAGGTTCCTCTGGTTGTATGATGTTCTGCGGCACTTCCAGGCCAGCCTTATTGACCTCATCCACAGCCCGTGGTGGAATGGGATCGCCCGACATTTGATGCGCTTCAAGTATAAGACGCAAGAGTTCTTCGTCCACCTTCCGTTTAGCTGCGCGGCTCCCTGAAGATGCGATCTTCTTTGAGATTTCCTCAATGTCCTCATACTGGACGGCATATTTGCGCCAAAGATAGGCACATCGGCCACATAGCGCCAGAGTGAGCCATCCACTCTTGTCTTTGTTGTTTTTCGCAGAGGGGTCCTTGGGTACCAATGTGCCAGGGGGGGTCCCCGGGGCACGCCGCCATTGTCGCGAATGGTGAGTCCCACAAAATTTGCACACAAAGCCTCGTTTCTTTTGCACTGCCTTCTCATCATCGAAGGCAGAATCATCCTGGTCATCGGCAACATCGTCCAGGAGTTTGGGCACGTTGCCCTCTTTGTCCGCTCGTTTAGATTCCTTCTTCGAACGACGCCCCTCGAAATTGCCCCAGATCTGTCGGCCCCTGTCGGTCTTCTTCCACATATAGTAGAAGCGTACAATCCGAGATTCCTTGACATTCCCAACATGACGAGTAACGGCATGAAGCTCACTTCCATATTTAGCCACACCTTCTTCAAACCGCTTGATTTCATCACGGGAGAGCTCGGGTTGTTTCAAGTCACCCCTCACGCTGAGTTCCGCCATGGCCTTTAACGCTTTCTCGACATTGTAGTTATTCTCTTGGAGCTTCTCGATTGCTTTGGTGAGAAAGTCAACAGATGAATCGAGCAGGTTGTACTTGGCTGCAATTGGTTTGACCTTCGCCATGTAGTCATCCACCAAATGTTCTGCATCCATTGGTTCTGTGGCGTCATCACCGCCTCTTTCTGACAACTCTCCTGGTTCTGGCATCTTGAAAAGCAGTTGAGCTGTGTGTTCCTTTTTGCCCTTGATTTCGACCGGCTCATCTTGGCCTCGAGGGATATAGCCGATCGGTTCGTCAATCACCCACTTAGGGCGTTTCAGTTTCTGATCTCTATCGGTATCGGTACCGGTATCCTTGGACCCTTTACCGCCCTTGATGTGGTGGGCGTGTTTTAGGTATTTCCGTTTGATCTCCGCAGGCTTCACCAATTCGACTGGGCGCCCATGCCACACGTTGACGTTGGCTTGGTGGCGGGGACCCAGCCTGGAACTTGCTCGAGGATATATCCGGTCGTCATAGTCCAGTGCATCCTCCACGCGTGAATGAACACCCAGGTAGCGCCACGGCCACAAATTGGCCTGGGCGATCTGTTCCTTAGTGGGCGCTGGATGAGGCTCGGGTGCAACGCTGCTCTCACGGGTGCCCCGACTCTTGGGTTGATTATCATCTTCGTCCTCATCCATGGGATCGTCGTCATCCCCATGGCCGGCTTCTGAGCCCGCGGGGGTGTTCCGGTGATCCATCTTGATTTCCTGTGCCCGGCTGCAATGGGCACAGGCCCAGGCAAAGCCTCGAGCAGGCTTTTTCAGGAGTGGTGGCCGGACGCACTGCATGTGGTATGTCCGCTTGCAAACTGCACAGTCTACCGAGTCGTGGTTACTGGCAAACTGTTCACATTTTGTACATTTTTTGCTCTCACTGGTGAGCTCACGCCCGCGGCCAATTTCCACCAAGACAAATTTCCAGCGTTGGTCCAGAACAGTCTTGACATGCTGAGGAACGTTGACAACCTTGCTGGTTGGAATTACCTCGTAATACCGGTGCATGTATCGATCATACAGTTTGTCAAACCAAAACGAATCTTGCTGGCCACGATATTCATCCATGTTCGATATTTCCGAGAGATGGCGTATGTTGCACTTTCCGCGCATCGAGGTGAGGGGACAGGTGTCAGAGTGCATCGACGCAAAGACAACCCGCGTATCTTGGACTCGTCGCAGAATGTCTTTCGGGCGGTAGTACCAATTGACTCGGATGGCATCGATGGGACCTTCGGGGTCGTTCTTCGCGTGGAGGAATTCCATGATTCGGGCAAGGTAGTAGGGTTCTCCCGGAGGCTCGCAGATGAGGTAGACATGGTCTAGATGTCAAGAATTAGTACAGAAGATAAAAGAGATACTTGAATTTAGGGAAGCAGAAGTACCGTTGGCTTGAACGGCGGTGCCATCGTCGGCGACCAGTTGGTTTTTTGCATTCAACCTATAACCACAACGTTTGAAACTCATCATGTTTGTTTCGACATAGCCCTTGAAGGGGACCGAGGCGACGGGTCTCGCGCGCGAATTGGTTCCCATGGTTGAGGTTGCGGCCACAGTATGGCTACTTCCGGGATGTTTTCTTTTCTTCGAAGGCGCAGGAGCCGCAGCGGCCGTGGGTGTGGATGCATTGGCCGCAGGAGTGATTTCTGCGGGCTTTTCGGGCTGAGTATTGTTGACGGAGGCAAAATTCGTACTCGAAGGCTGTTGTTGTTCGCTCGCTGCGGCGGAAGATCGCTTACTCGAACGACTCGGTTTGGACAATGCCTCTATTTCGAGATCCAATTCCCTGTCCTCGGCGTAGTTTGGGCGACTCCCTCCTGTCCGATTTCTCGAGCGAGTGCCATAAGGGCCGGAGGTAGAATTGTCGCCATTTTCGGGGGTGGGTTGTAGCGAGGAAGTGGACGCGGTCGCAGTCATAGGCTGAGATTGGGGCGTGTCAAGGGCTGGTGTGGGCGTGGGTGCGGGTGCAGTCTCGGGTCCAGGCGACACTTCTACACTTCGACTACCTCTCCCGAGTGCGCTCGACGGTGCATCACTCTGTGCATGTGCTGCTGCGTTTGAGTGCTCTGTGGACTGGGGCCCTGGAGGTGCTGTCGCGATTGGAGGGCTCTCAACTGTCGACATGACGAGTTGAGAGGCGGCGAGCGGTGGAAGACCAGGTGCGGTAAGCCCTACTTTATCGCATGGCGACCGGGGGAGGAGTTGGGCCTTTGGTAGGGCTGCAACGACGACAACTCCCGCGCACCTAAGCAGCTGAGGGACGTCTCGGCACCAAACAGAATGGGGTAATAATTTCTCGCGGTAGACTTTACAGAGGGATCGATATTGGTAGCGAGCTTGCCCAGCGACCGAAAACAAACAAAAAATAGGTCAGCAAAAGTCGAGGGTTGAGGGGGTAGTCGTAACCAAGAAGTGAGGAAGATGCCGTGGGCAGCGGAGTGGGCGATATGATGGACTATATCTCGGACAAGGCACGCGCCAGGATGCTCAGTTGTGCGGGTCTTAGCGCCTAGTTTGTTGGCTGGAGGTCGACGCGGCAAAAATCCAGCAGTCAAAAAGGGAAGATATGCGGAAGGGGTGGGGTGGGGAGCACAAAGAAGAGCAATCCCGCCTAAATACAGTCGGAAAGTGGTTAGGTGAGTCGAGGGCGGAGAGCGAGAAGAGTAGAATAGAAAGGGAGAAAGAGGCTGAGGGAAGGAAGAACGAGAAGGGAATAATGGATGAGAAAGAGGTTGAAGGGAAGGACAGACACTCGGCAGAGGCAAGGAAAAATGCGGCCTAGTCGACAAGGTTTGAGCCTTAGTCCGGAAAGATAGTGTATGAGGACGAGTGACAAGGGAGAGGAAGCGAGTCTGAGTGGACGCCGGATCAATGCCGAGATATTGCGAGGTTAATACTCTCAAGTTGACGGCAGAAGATGAGCTAAGAGAGTCAGAGCCAACCTGCGGGAAGACATAATGGGCCTAAACACCCACTGGAGTGGCTGTTTATAAAGGAGCATCGGCAGCAAGTGCGAGCACTGGGATCACCGGGAGGGAGGACAGGAGGGGGAAGAGCCGTGTCATTAACAGGACGATGGGTGTCTCTAAAGAATTGTTGTGCTTGTCGGGAATCGGGGGGAAGGCAACGGAAAAGGCGGACATGAAAAGGGACACAGACACGCAGACACAAACGGCACTGCGACAGGCAAAAAAAACCCACGATGGAGAATAGGCCAGACACAAGAGATGTGAGATGAGCCATCAGAGGGTCAGAGACTGACCCAGCGTCCAGGGTGTGGAGAGCGAGGGAGGAAGGGGGGGCCACACGAGATGTGCTTGGGAAAAAGTGGGATCAGTGACATGGAATATGTGGATCATCTGCAAGGCAAGGAAGCGCTAAAAATGAAAGAGCAGACAAAGAGAAAAGAAAGAATTCCTGGAGTGCAGTTGAGGTTGGAAACCTTGAGCGAATCATGCAGGGTCGCGTAACGTGATTCGGTACGCTGACGACATTACTCATGACTCTGGCCAGTTGCTGCCACCAAGACGTACTATGATCTTGCTCGTTTTGCCTTCTCCCCAACCACATACAAATGATTACTGTTCTCGCTCTCATTTCTTCCCCAAATGCGCCCATAAGGACCACATATACCTCGTATACCCGCGCGACTTAGGGGTGACTGTGGAATAATCCCTTCAGCAGCTATCCATGTCGGTTGCACCATATATTTCTTACCCTGTGGTGGTCACATCTTTGCATCTGTCTCGCAGCCATATCCTCCATACCTCTTCAATGATTATTCCATGTCGTGGCGTTTCCTGGCCCAGTACATCCAGAGGGTAGTGGAAGAAGTGAGGTCGGTGGGTGGCGATCAAACAGCCCGGCTGCTTAGTGCCCGAGGACCCCTTGGCGTCACCTGACCCAGGATTGTCCTCTCTTAATTTTGACCACATCTCTATCATGGCCTCGACAATTGGGATGGCCATAGAAATCCAAACATGTCCTTGGAGTCTCCATGAATGCTGCCAGTGAATTTATCGCAGTCCGTTTGCTATTTTACAATCGCTTTTGACAGGCCTCCTCCCTCAAGGTCATGGTGTAGCAAGCCTGGATAGTTTTGCCTGCAGAATCGAGTCGGGGCCTCCCCGAACCTCCACTCACCACTCACTTGCGCCCTACATGATCACCAGTTTGCCAGCCTGGCACCCAGCTCCTTCGACTTAGCCACCCATACCGAGTACTTGTTCATTAATCCAACTCTACCGCTTCCAATCGCCTGTTGCCCCGTTGGGATAACAATCACACTCATTCCGTCTTGAAATTTGCGGCCATCATAGCGCAGCCGCATACTTGTCGCAGAGAGGCTCGCTGCCCAGCTCTATGGCATTACATGACTGAATGGCTGTCATTTTGATTCCTCACCCTCTATTTTCCCTTGACGCATTGTTGAGGGGTGGCCGACTGTCAGAGACCGTTTTTCTGTGTGGTGCCAGCGTGCGGTGGTGGTCTGGGGGTTCCCGGCTCCCGCGGTAAGTGGCTTTCGGACCTGGCAACTAACCCGAACTTTTAGAGTTTGGACTATTCCGTTGTAGGACTCGCCTCTTTCCCTGTTTACGCGGTTCACGCATAGGCTTGCCTTGGTTGGCACAATCTAGATCTATTGCTGTTCTAATGACGACCATTTCTATCAACCCTGTTATCACGATTGATCCTGTGTGCTGGAAACAGTCGTTGTCTGAACTCATCTAGGACCCTGACGCTCCTGTCGAATGGAAGGCCCGACATGTCGCGTCCACTTCACGCGTAGACACGCAGATCCCACACACGATATCCGATGGCACCACCATGGCATCAAACGACCCTGTCAACGGGTCAAGCTACCTCGATTGACCTCGCCCGCAATCAGAGCTACGGCATAAAGCCTCTAGCTGGGATCAAACGTACCATCGATGCAGTCCGTGATGTTCAGATAGGCCCTCCAGTCCAGAGCTCATCATCAGTTCCGCGGCCACAGACTATCGACACACCTCTTTCCCGGCATAATTGCCAGCCCCCTCGTCTACAAGCTAGCTGTATTACTCGTCCAGACCACAGTGATGACAGCAAAGCAGTCCCGAACCCGACACCCATTCATATTCCTCCATTCAAGTCATCTACTCCAGGGCCTTCGCAAAACCCGCTTCTCAGCCTTCGACATGCTCGTTATGGTCTACCTTCCAAGCTGGTTGACAATTTTGAATCACTCGGGGTACGCGCCATATACTCCTGGCAGTCATCGTGCCTATTGGGCCGGGGGTTGTTGGCCGGAGAACAAAACCTGGTCTATACAGCCCCCACAGGCGGGGGCAAGTCGTTGGTCGCAGATATCCTACTAATCAAGCGGGTCCTTGAAGATCCTACAGCAAAGGCGATCCTGGTTCTCCCTTATGTCGCTCTCGTTCAAGAAAAGTTGAGGTGGCTCCGCAGCTTGGTGGACAAGGTCCCCAAAGTAGTTTGCGACAGTCTCGATGGTGTGCCAACACCAACATGGCGCCGGCCAACCCCATTTGTGCGAGTCGGTGGATTTTTTGGTGGGAGCAGAACGAATATCAGCTGGTCCGACTGCGACATCGCTGTCTGCACCATCGAGAAGGCCAATTCGTTGGTCAATGGCGCCATTGAAGAAGGCAAATATGGTGACATCGGTATAGTGGTACTGGATGAACTTCATATGATCAACGACGAACATCGGGGATATCTTATGGAACTCCTTGCCACGAAGCTCATGTCGCTTGCATCGGGTGAGAAGAAGGTTCAGATCGTGGGTATGAGCGGCACCCTGCCAAATCCACAATTGCTAGCACAATGGCTGAACGCAAAATTTTACATTGCGAAGTACCGTCCAATTCCCATCGAGGAACATCTTGTGTACGAGAATGCCATCTATCCAACAGCAAATGCGAAAGAGTTCTTTCGCACGGCAAGTCAGCTGGCTGCCGGCGATGCTCTCCCAACACAACGACCACAACCTCAGCGGACGATCGCTAGATCAAACCACAAAGAACTCAAAAGTCCAACCCCCAATGCCGTTGTAGCTTTGGCTGTTGAGACTGCCCTTGCTGGTCACGGGGCACTGGTATTTTGTGGCAGTCGAATGGGTGCAGAGAATACAGCGCTCTTGATTAGCGACGCGTTACCTACAGACCACCTGAGCTGGGAAGAGTTGGAACGGCGTCAAGATCTCCTGGCATCGCTCTGTGCACTGCCAGGTGGATTTGAGCCATCTTTTTCCAAGACTGTTCCTTGCGGAGTCGGCTTTCATCACGCCGGATTGACAACTGAAGAGCGAGAGCTGGTTCGCGAAGCGTATGACGCAGGGATCCTGCGGGTGATGGTGGCGACGTGCAGTCTCGCGGCGGGCATCAATCTTCCAGCAAGAAGAGTAATATTGAATGGAGCTCGGATGGGTCGAGAGCTGGTCGGCCCTGCAATGCTTCGACAGATGCGGGGACGTGCTGGCCGCAAAGGCAAGGATGAAGTCGGTGAAACCTACCTTTGTTGTCAAAAGCCCGATCTTGAGGCTGTGGCAGAATTACTTGAGGCGGAAATGCCTCCGGTCGAAAGCTGCCTGACGCCTGAAAAGAGAGGGATCAAGAGAGCTCTTCTGGAGGTCATTGCTACCCGTATGGCGTCCAGCATAGCGTCATTGGATGGATACGTTCGCTCATCACTTCTTTGGCATAGCATTGACCATCCGCAGGCTGCTGAGATGGTCGAAATGGCGAAGCAGGCATTACTCCAGGACGGATTGATTCAAGAAGGAGAATACGATGGATGTCTTGAACCAACCAGGCTTGGAATCGCGGTTGTGGCGTCTGGTCTCGGCCCTGAGGATGGGACTTTTGTCCACGCGGAATTGCGACGGGCACTTGAAGCGTTCGTCATGGATGGTGAAATGCACATATTCTATCTGTTCACTCCGGTCCAGACCACGGGGCTCGCGGAAATTTCGTGGTTGACTTTCCGAAACCAATTAGAAGATCTCGACGAGAGTGGAATACGAGCAATCCGACTTATCGGCGTCAATCCTGCTTTTGTGAATAGACTCGTCAATAGCGGTGCTCAACTCAAGGAAAACACGGCAGAAGAGATCCATATGGCGCGAATCTATCGCAGAGCATACTCAGCCTTCCAGCTGCGAGATCTGTGCAATGAGATGCCGATCCACGAAATCAGTCTGAAATATTCTGTGCCGCGGGGACAAGTGCAGACACTGGCTCAAACCTGTCACGGATTCGCTGCGGGCATGATCAAATTCTGCGAGACAATGGGCTGGGGAATGCTAGCGGCTGTACTGGAACATATGCTGGATCGCCTTCGTGCGGGAGCACGCGCCGATCTCCTGGAAATGGCTCAGATAGCATTCGTCAAGAGTCGCATGGCCCGGATGCTGTGGGAGAACGGGTTCAAGAGTGTTCGAGCTCTGAGTGAAGCCGATCCGCAGGCTCTGGTACCGATCATGTTGCAAGCTCAGGCAAGGAAAATGAAATTGCAGGGAGAGGCTGCCGCCAAGTTCCAGGCAAAGTTATTGTCCAAGGCAGAGATTATAGTCAGCAGCGCGAACAGGCTGTGGGAGAGACAACAAATGGTGCAGTGGGAGGAGGAATGACAGTCTGGGTATATTCGCCCATCGGCGTGAATTCTCCTCTAGGAGCCACAGTTGCGCAATTCGAGTTGGATCTCGCTATCAGTTTCAAAGAGTACGAGTAAATACGAGTTTCCTGGCGTGCCTTGCATTAGTGGTGGCACTTCTCTCGCAGATGGGTAACTTAAGGGGCAATGCGTTCTTACCTTGTTGAGCACTGTCCACGCCAATTGGAGGTACGCGCTCCAGTCGCATCAACCGAACAATTGGACAGTGTGAAGCCAGCAATACAAGCGAGGGCAGTATCCGGTGGGGAGACTGATCTGATGCATATGACCGGAGTTGTAGTTTTTTGCCGATGCTGCCGACGATCTGAATCTACTACACAGCATCGAGAATGATTGTTAGGACGGGAGCGCAGTCGGGACAAGGCGGTTGGTGGTGTATGATTCCAGCATCTGCATCGATATTACGTCGCAGATGCCGGCTGACAAATGACCGACAGTGGTGTCACCAGTGTCTGGAGAGGCTTGATTATCTGGAGGAATACCGGCCTGGAGAGAATTGTAGGCCACAAGGACTCCGAAAAGGTCGGGTTGGGAGGTCGGGAGTGGGTGGATTACAAAGAGAAGACCAATGGCGCAGGCGGGAGGCTCGGTCGATTCCGCACTGCGCAAGCAGCAGCCCGGGCTTGATTGGCCGTGCTTTGGCAATCTTCTGTCAGCTTTTCATAAGCTGCTGGTTGCTAGGGGACTTTTTGGTGGCATGGATAGGAAGCTTGGAGATAGCATTGCGGAAACCAGCGGTGCATCGTTCTCGGATGAGTTCATGACTTACAAAACATGTTGCCCTTGGTATAATGCGGATGGAAGTTGGAAAGAAAATTTGCGACGCAGGAAAAAAAGAAATATTGTTGAAATGACGGCCATCGACCATGAGAGGTTATGGGATTGCAATGAGTGGCTGGTGTCATTACATCTGTAGAGGGTTGGTGTCAGGTACCTACTATCAGCAGCATTACCCACTTCCACGCTGGGTCCCTTGGTTCCTGGGTCGCAGTATGTGCTCTGGCGTCATCCTAGGCTCCACTGGAAGCTCTAGCACCCCTGCTTACACCTGGCGCTGCCCACTAAAGCTCTGCGGGGTTCCCGACCACGCCTGTCCAGTGCCTGTAGTGACCGGCCTTCCCAATGCGTGTTGACGAATCGTCAGCAACTCTGGGCGCAGAGTTCCAGGCACACCCGGAAGAGCCCCTCGTCAGAGGATGAAACTAAAGACGAGAGTAAACAAGGTGCAAGGTGGGAGCGTTCCGTGGTGATGAAGCTTCATTCGTAAGATCATTGTGCTTCAATTGACTTGCGGCGGCATACCGAGTGCCGCTGCGCATACAAAAACCTCGACACTTCCTCCTCTCCTGTACTTCATTCTCTCTTCTCCATCTCACACCCAAGCTTCGTCCTCGAGCCCATACAGCCTCTGTCTCTGTTTCTCTGTCTCGTCTCAGTCTATTTTCCGTACACAACTCTTTCACAATGGCCCCCAAGATCGCCATCATCTACGTACGTTGCTCTCTCAACCCTTCCTTCAATCCTCCCTTGCCGCCTGCTACACTTCCCGTCAATCGTGGCGCATTGTTTTCCTTTTGTGACCGATGCTAACAGAACTGTTCTGAAACAATAGTACTCCATGTACGGCCATGTTGCCCAGCTGGCTCAAGCAGAGAAGAAGGGCATTGAAGAGGCCGGTGGCACTGCTGATATCTACCAGTACGTTTTCCACATCATTACCGTCTGCCTGGAGAGACCGACCAACAGGGACTAACTTCGCTGCCTCTAGAATCGAGGAAACCCTCCCCCAGGAGGTCCTGAGCAAAATGCACGCGCCAGGCATGAACAAGGACGTCCCCGTCGCTACCCCCGAGATCTTGCTCAAGTACGACGCTTTCCTCTTCGGCATTGCCACCCGTTACGGCACATACTCGGCCCAGTGGAAGACCTTCATCGATAGACTCGGTGGACACTGGCAGACCGGAGCGCTCTTTGGAAAATACTTTGGCCTGTTCATCAGCACCGCCACTCTCGGTGGTGGCCAAGAGACCACAGCCATCACGGCTCTCTCGTCCTGGGTTCATCAGGGCATGATCTACGTTCCCCTTGGTTATGCCAAAGCCTTCCCCATCATGGCCGACCTCAGCGCAGCTCGTGGCGGTAGCCCATGGGGTGCAGGGACATTCGCTGCTGGTGATGGCTCCAGACAGCCTTCGGCTCCCGAATTGGAGCTTGCCACCATCCAGGGCAAGTCCTTCTACGAGCACCTCAGCAAGGTCAGCTTTGCGTGACTAGATGGCAGTGCCGAAGAGAAGCCTGCCGCAGAAAATGGCGTAAAACCCGCCGAGCAGACTGCGAAGACAACAGAGACAACAGCTGCTGCGGGACCAAAGAGACCAACACAACCGATACAGACAGATGATAAGGAAGAGGAGAGCGGGCCATGTGGATTGCCCAAGAAGTGTGTGATTTTATGATCCCTTCTCGTGTGGACAAGCATATGGGGTGGTTGGAATACGGTGCGGATTCGTAGTTGCGAGAAGAGAGAAAGTACAAAGATACCATTCTGCTAATATATGGCTTATGATCAACAGAACATTCAATCTGACGAACGAAGTTTCTGCGAAACGATGTCTTCCTCACTGGGAAGAAGTCCCAATCTCGCCTCTGTAAACAGTGACTGACCACACGGAGCACGAAGCGAAAGAAATCATGGATGACTCCGATAGGGGTCAATACAGGACACTAACTAGAGAAGTTCAGGCCACCCATGAGCAGCCCATGAGCACATTAACGAGGACGAGTAGGGGACATACCTAGCTAGCCCGGGCCACGGTGATCGACCTCCACACCCCTCCAAGAAACTTTCGACCAGGCTGCTGTCCACCAGATCCCCCCGGCTTGTGAGGACAGCGGGCAAAGAATTCCAATATCTAGTCTTGCCTGTACCTCGTAGATCCTCTGTCGACTCTCTGCGACACTCCTTCCCCAAGAAAATGTCGAATGCGCAGGCGGCGGCATCACTGTTCGAGGTCTACGGCCAGTTCCCCATTGCGAAAACCTTCGCAGCCACCGATTCAGTACCCGAACCGCTAGATTCACAATTGCCCGCTTACAGCGCCGCGTTTGACGCGGACCCTTTGATCAAGAGACACGCAGCCTGCGATGAGTGCAGTCCGTCCTCTGAATATGCCATGACTCCGTACCTAGACTCACAATACCTCAGGAAAGCGCAAGTTGAAGTGCTCAGGTGAAGCCACGGGCTGCGCACGATGTGTCAAGCAGGCCCTGAAGTGCCGCTACTCGGCGCAGAAGCAGATGGGCAGACCGCGCAAGAAACAGAAGACGGACGACTTTCTTCAAGACGACGAGGTCTCGGCTATAGACACGTCCCATCTGAATAGTGCCCTGCGGCCGACTCCCCTTTCTGCCCTCTATCCTCAACCTCCTCCGGCGCCGCCCGCCGTCGCCGAACTGGCAATCGACCCCGGACTCTCTGAACAAGTTGTTGAGCGTACAAACTTTGAGAATATCTGCACAGCCCCCATTACCCAGTCCATCAAACGGGCCAGCCACGAGGCCCGAGTGGTGGCAGAAAAGGCAAACTCCTCAAATCTACACCGTCAAGGCTCCAACAGCACCTCACCGTACGATGGGCCTCGCACACCCCCGGCTGCAAACGACGTTTTGCCCCAGGGTTCTTATCCGACCGATGTCTCGCTGTGGCCTGACTTCAGTGACATGACCATGCTTCCAATCTTGGTGCAAGAGAGCCATGAACACGACAGGCAGTTATACTCCACCAACGACGCAGACCCAAACTCCTCTCTGTCCAGTGACAAAGGACCTGGGCCGTATGCTAACCATTTCGCCAACCTCAGCACAAATCAAAGCTCGTTGACACATCTCCCCACTATTCCAGCTTGTCCCTGCCTGCCCAACCTCTATCTCACTCTGTCAACCCTCTCTACCCTGTCTGCATTTCCCGTATCCTCTGGCATGGTCGATGCGCTCCTGGCCGCCCATCGGACCGGTCGTTCTGTTATATATTGTCCCGTTTGCCCCCAGAAAATGCAATCGGGCTCTCAAAACGTATTTCTGAGCACCATGTTGATCACGGTGCTTGCGGATCATTGGCATCGTGTCAAAAAGGCTAGTGCTGAAGAGCTGAAGAGGGGGTTTAGCAGCTCGGAATCAGTGCCACCGGACAACCCATCAGAACCCTTGAGTATCCGCGAAGATCTTGAGTGGCGCACATTTGGTTATCATTTGATTCGAGCATATGTTTTCGGTGACCACGCAATTCCCGACCCGCCCGATGGCTCGTTCCATCCTTTGAGAAAACCGCAATTCATACCTACGCATATATCGTCTGAGGATAGCGATGCCTCTACCGTTTACACACTCGAGTCGCTTGTGTCCGCTATCGAACGGCGTCAGAAGCAATGGCATGATGTTGAGCCCTACCACAACTCGCAGGAATTTCCCCCTCGGTTAGAACACAATCACGTACAGGCTGGCGCTCACGGTAATTGTCGGGGTTTGCCACGAGGGTATGCGCCGGGGATGACGCTCGAGGACATTAAGAAGTGCGAAGACGAGCATCGTGCTGGGGGGAGTGCCGACGATGGTTTGCTGTGTTTAAAGATTGTGAAGCATTCTAGGATTATGCTGGGCAGTTTGGAAGGAGGTATACCGAGGATCGAATGATGATGAATCGAGGGTCCATCTCAGACGAAAATGCAGAACCAAGGCAGGCTGCAGCCCAGGACGGTCCGTCGGATGTGGTTGGCGACGTCTCTCCGATCCTCAGCCAGCGTTGACGACAATTCCGGCTTTGGAGACAGTGTCTTCAGTCGACAATGCGCAGACCGAATCTGTTAGCTCCCTCTCAGCTTCCAGGCAGCTACAAGCATTAGCACAATCGGTCAACTAGCACTGACACCTCTTCGCCGTTCAGCTCGCGGTCCTAGCCTTCAGAAGCAGCTGTCGGATGTGCGGTTTTCCCTTTTGGAGCAAACCCAGGCATACCTTTTCACCTCGTGGCCCTGCGAGCACTTTATCTTAATATGTATCAGTTGGCGACAAAAGTATATCTCTTTCACTGGCCCAGATGTCATTGTGGAAATCCAGTCTGTCGTGGATACGCCTGTCTGAAGGCGGGCTGTAAAGCATTAGCACCTCCACACACCCTCTCCCTCCTGCTATTATATGGTCCTGACTCTTGCGCAGAGAGGGATCTCACAAGCAATTGAAGCTGATGTGGACCTCCACGGGTTGTTCCGGACAAGATCGGCCATCCCTTTTTGACTTTTACCATCACCGTGTCACCGTGTCTAGCAAGCCAGGCAAGCCAGGAAAACAACCTCGGTGAAGCTCGGTTGCGGAGAATATGCGCCGAGTCAAGGTTGGCCTGGTCAGACTTCGGCCATGTCCATATTCAGTGCATATCGCTGCCAGAACAACTTTGTATATATACAGAATTTCTCTTGGAACACCTGCTACTAATACAAGCCAGGCTATTTTGCCCCGTGGTCCCGTTTCCTTGTGTGGTGTCGCCGTGTCTATCTAAGAACGCCTCGGCAAGATGAATCCCAACCCTACAGCAAAATCTGGCGCACGCCACGAGCTCGACGACGCCTCGCTGAGCAGATATCTTGCCAACTCGAATACCATTCCAGGTTTGAAGGCGCCTGTGGTGTCGACGAAAATTGGCTACGGCCAGAGCAATCCCACCTACTTTCTCGACGATGCTGCGTACGTCTTTTCTGTTCAAGATCCACCTATCCAACAGCCCGTGTCTTATATTTGATTTGGTTACCATGCTGTACAGTCCTCCATGGATCGGTGGGTTGTGATGGTTTCAGGGGTCTTCTTGTGCTATCTTATCCGTGTGTGAATGAATGCAAGCATGGTTGTTTATGTCGTTCTGTGGCGGTCATGGACGCCCAGGCTGCACCGTTGATTCTCTGTGGTATTGACGTTCTTGTAACTGACATTTTTATATAGAGGCACACGCTTTATCCTGCGAAAGAAGCCATCAGGGACAATCATCAGCCCTGTTGCACACCAAGTCGACCGTGAATACCGGGTACTGAAAGCCCTGGGCTCGGTCAAAGGGTTTCCTGTGCCGAAAGTTTATACGCTTTGCGAGGACTCGAGCGTGATTGGGACGCCATTTTATGTAAGGCTCTATCGACTTTCGTCCTTGCTTCGACGTCGCCTTTGGAGGACGAGATTATATGTGGCTGACGGGGACGATATCTAGGTTATGGAATTCGTCAAGGGCAGAATAATAACAGATCCCGACCTGGGTGAACTTTCGCCCTCGGATCGAAGGAAAGCGTAAGTCGTGCTCTACCCGGCACTCTGTCCAATTCATGTGCTGTCTTGGATCCTGTGCCGTCCCCCCAGCTACCTTTGTAGGTGTCTCTTCTTCCAGGGCCCGACTGAAATGTCAATAGGTGGATCTCCCTCGTCGAGACTCTTGCCTGGCTGCACAGCATCGACCCGGACTCGATCGGCTTGTCCAACTTTGGCAAAAAGCAAGGCTTCTACCAACGGCATTGCAACACGTTCCAGCGGATCGAGAACCAGCAGTCCAAAGTCAAAGACATCAACACGGGCAAGGAGTTGGGCCGGGCCCACGAGCATTACGACGAGGTGGTTGATTTTGTGAGGACCAACATGACCAGCGACCGGTATTCGATTGTGCATGGAGATTACAAGTTTGACAATGTGGTAAGTTCGAGACACACACTGAGAGATAGGAGGATCCTGGGGACTCCTTCCGAATGCATAGCGACTCTACTCTCTTGCTTTGCAAATCTCAACCTCCAGATCAATCTGACCATGGGATAAACGAGTAGATCCTCCATCCTACCGAACCCCGCGTCATCGCCATCCTCGACTGGGAACTCTCAACGATCGGCCACCCGCTGATGGACGCCGTGTACGTGATCGGCCCGTTCTGGAACGAGACGGTGAAGCCCGGCGTGCCCTACTCGCCCGAGACCTCGCCGTACGCGGCGGCCAACCGCGCCAAATCCGGCATGCCGGAGCCCGACGAGCTGCTGGACCGGTACTCGCGCATCACGGGCTTCGACCCGCGCAAGGAAGGGAATCCGCCCGGCAAGGACTTTGAGGTCGCAAAGATCTTCCACTGCGTGCGCGGCGGGACCATCTCGCACGGCATCCAGGCCCGCACCATCAGCGGCCAGGCCAGCAGCGACTTTTCGCACATCTATTTCGAGAATACCCGCAAGAGTCTCGACAATGCGTACCGCATGATGCAGAGGTTGAAGGAGGCGCAGGGGACGAAGGCAAAGTTATAGTCGTCCTCCAAGCTACAGTCGTGTCCGCGTGGGGAGTTTTCCTGGTGGAAGGGACGGGACGGGAAAGGGAGAGTTGGAGAGTGTGATCTGGCCCGGAAGGACTGAAGTGAAGGACCTGGGGTGGCAAAGGAGGGACGGATTCGATGGAGATGGAATGCAAATGGCCCCTCGATGTCGATTGCGTTAGACTCTCTGGTCGGAGCAGGGTTAGGCCAAGGTGAAACAAACCGAAGGGCCAAAAGAGTCGGTCAGTAGGCAGGGAAGTGAGGAGGGTAAATGAGTGGCATACGTAGTAGATAGAATGAGGCTCGTCCACAAGGAGTGTTGTGTGACAGGGTTCCAGGGAGAACATTTGGATATGTATGTTTGACCTTGATACATACATACAAGGTACATAGCTAGTACCTAAGAGTAGATCAAACTCACTCATCTTCCAGTTCTAGTTCTAGGCTTGGGGCATGGCATGACATGGCATGGATACATCCATAGACACCATCTAAACCACGCCTTTCGCGCTCTCTCTTTCAATACTCTCCATGATTTCTCTCTTCTATATTTCTAGTTGCTCTTCTCCTCCTCCCTCACTCCAATCTTTCCCAATCGTTCCCCCCCCCCTCTCTCTGAGTCCTTACCTCCCTCTCTCCCTCACTCTACTACCCTCACACTCCGAGGCAACTTACAGTCATACTCACAACTTGGCCCTCTGGCTTCCCCCATCGCCCTGACCCTCAGTCTTCGACGACGCCATCTCCCTCTCGATCTGCTCGGCAAAGACCCTCTTGAGGATCTTGCCGCTGGCGCTCTTGGGGATCTCGGGCACAAAGACCACGCCGCCCGTGAGGGCCTTGTAGCTGGCGAGGTGGGCGCGGATGTGCGCCTTGACTTGGTCGGCGGTCAAGGGCGGTTCTGGCTCTGGTGGCGATGACGTTGTCGATGTCGATGTCGAGGGCCGGAAGACGACGTACGCGCGGATCAATTCGTCGGCAACACCGTGCAACGGCCCGCCCGGACGGCGGAATCCCACCACGGCGCAGTCGACGATGCGCGGATGCATGAGTAACACGCCCTCCAGCTCCGAGGGCGAGACTTGGAAGCCCCGGACCTTGATGAGTTCCTTATTATCCTTGTGATTAGTATGACGATGGGCTGAAAAGAGTGAGGGGAGATGTACCTTCTTCCGGTCGACAATGTACCACTTCTTGGTCTTGCCGTCGCAGTACAGCACGTCGCCGGTCTTGAGGTAGCCCTCGGCGTCGTACGCCTCGGCGTTGGCTTTGGGGTTGTTGAAGTAGCCCCTGACGACGGTGGGGCCGCGCACGCAGAGTTCCCCGGGGACGTCGTAGGCCGTGATGTCGTTGCCCTTGTCGTCGATCAACCTGTGTGTTTTGCGGGAGGGGTTAGTTGGCTTCTTTCCTCGAGAGAGATATTTTCTTTCTTTTTGGCAGGACTAGAAATCACACTGCGGATGGGCATGTTCCACGCTCTGGAGGGGTGTGGTCTGTTCGCTGAGAGAAACACATCACAGCAATGACAAGTAACGAAAATACGTACTTGACATCCGTGTTGGGCAGGAACCGACTCCCCACACTCCCCGTGTCGTCCGTGCCCGGGTAGTAAAAGTGGGAGATGGTGCCCGTCGTCTCGGTCATGCCAAAGACCTGGGTGAAGGTGGCGTCGGGGCTGCACAGGCGGCGAAACTTTTCCTGGGAGGCGGCGTCGAGGGGCGCGGCGCCGCACTTGACCTGGCGGAGGGAGCGGAGCGAGTAGCGGTGGCGCAGGGGGGACATGATGATGGCGATGACGAGCGGGGGCACGATGCCGATGTTTGTGATGCGGTGGCGCTCGAGAGCCGCCAGAAACCCCTCGAGCTCGAACCGCCGCATGATCCAGCACTGGTCGCCCGTGATCAGCGGGCAGGCGTGCACCAGCGGCACCGTGGCGACGTGGAACCCCGGCAGCGTGTACAGGTTGCGCACCGTCCAGGGCACGCGCGCGATGTCGTGCAGCATCGTGTGCCACGACGTCGCGTTGTAGTGCGACTGCATGGCCGTCTTGGGCAGGCCCGTCGTCCCGGACGTGTTGAGCCGCGCCACCTCGGTGCGCTGCAGCTCGTCGAGGTCCGTGATGCGCACCCAATCCTCCTCTCCCTGCGACAGGAGCCATTCCCAGCTCCGGAACCCCTCGGGCACGTCTTGCTGCGGCCGCGTGTTGAAGATGAAGATCTTGTCCCGCGTGAGACCCTCGAGCTCCGCCGCCTCTAGGATCGGACCCAGCACTTCGGGTTCCACGATGAACATCTTGACCTGCGCCATGCGGATGTGGTGGCGGATCTCATAGACTTGGTACGCCGGGTTCGTCCCACTGGGGAGGGTTTGTTCCTCAGCCAGGTTTCTCCAGACCGAAAGAAAACGGAGAAAGGAAACTTAGAAGGTGGCAGAATGAATGGAACGATAGAGGCGTGTCCCGTTCCAAACACATCCTCCCTCGTAGCGGAAAAGGATAGCAAACTTACCTGAAAATGCCGCCGGCTGCCACCCCACCGAGGAAGAGCATCGAGTACATGATCTTTTTCATCCCAGAAGTTCAATCAGAGCCCGAGATCTGCCAGGAAAAAGGGGGATAGAGGGAACAAGAGACGACGCCTGGTTTCCTTTTGGAGCTTTTGATCTTTGAAAAAGGAAGAGAATTAATGGACGAGGAACTCAGGAACTCACATCATTAAACGCCGCAATGCTGAAACAATCCCCCCTGTTCAACCCAGCCTTGCGGAAGCCGGCGACGAGTTTTTTGGTGAAGGAGCGTCCTTGCCGCCATGATATCGTGCGACTGGGGTCTTCTAGATCGTGATAGACCTTTTGTTCGTTTTTCTCGGGGTCAGACTCGTTCTCACACACTCTCTCACTTTTTTGTGTGGGTTGTTTGATTGTGCTGAAAATGGGAGGGGGACAGTCTCCAAGGGTCATAAGAGGGGTTTACTGAATAGATAGATAGACACAGTGGAAAAAAAAATACTGACAGGTTTATCAGGATCATGGGTACACTCGTCAAAGACGAGTGAGATCAAGTCCTTCTGAGGCAACGGGTAGTGATCCTGACTGAGCCATGGCATCTTTGCTGGGTTGGTTCTGGGTAGTAGTTGTTATGCCTGGTCGTCTTCAGGACCGTATGTATGTATATATCTGTGGTGTTTGTTACCGTAACCAAGCACGTGCACTGGGGGTGGCAAGACTGTCAGTCTGTAAGAGCCGACGCAAGGGAAGACAGCGCTACGGCACCTGCGCTGTCGTGCAGAGGATAGCCAGGTAGGCAGGTAGGTAAGTAGTATCACGCCGTATGTATGCCCTGTAGTCCTGTGCTCCTGTGCTCCTGTTGTGCTGTAGTGCTGTAACCGAACACCCCCGGATCTCAGGCTTGCCCGACCCAGAGCACTACTACTCGGTCGGGTTCTCTACCCAACCCTCCACTCGCTGCTGGTTCGATGGAGGGGCCATTTCTTTCCCACTGGTGCTACGGTCTGGCCGAGTCTAACTCTCTGACAGACACGCCTTCTCGTACAGCTCAATCATGTCAGAAATTCTGACACATTTGGGTCTCGTAGAGCAGAATGCCGAGGAAAATTTCGGTAAAAAAAGAAAGTAGCAGGGTCCTTTTGAGGAGAGGGATGGGAGGAGCAACAAGTAGCGCACCAGCCTTGAATTTCAGGGGCGGGCTCCGCTTTGGGGGGGGGGGGG